GAAGAAATATACTTAAGATATTCATGTACTTACGAGTACTATTTCAAATTACTAGAGAAACTTTATATTATTATAAAATGAACTAATTTAATCATATAATTTTAGTTTCATTTTCGATAATTTGATATCCAAATTTGAAATTTCCTTTGGTTTAAGGTTCGGAAGGTTAACAATAATTTAAATTCCAACTCCCTTATTGTAAACGTAAACATTGGAACCCTTTTTAGCTGTTCAATTTATTTTTGGAAATAGACGAATAGTCATTAGAAAATGTAAAACTTTCGTGTACAATTTATGATACGTGGTGAACACAAGAAAAACTATTATTTTTCCCTAGATTCAAATAGCTATCAAAATATAAATATTAAAATAGAATTAAACACGTAAGTAATTTTTCTGACCTCATTTGTATTTTTTTACCATTTAAAAAATAATTTAATAAAGTAAAAATAAGTAATAAGTGAAAGAATGCAAACCACCTTTAGAAAATCGATGAGAAATGTGAAAAAAAAACTAGAAAGAAAAAGTTTTTGTTCTTTCACTTTAAATATATATACTTTAAATTTGTCCCATTTGAGTAAAAGCGAAAGGGAGTTAAAATGAAAGGAATTAAATCTCTTAGGTTACGTGTACATGTCAGCTTGTCTAAAAGTAGGACGTGGGTATTTTTTTCATCGTCCAGTGTATACAAGAAGCGATAGTGTTATACGTTCTGTATCCATTAGTATTGTATAATGAAGTTGTACGCTATTCAAAAATTTTGCTCAAATTGTAATGAGGAAAAGTTACGGATAGTTCTCAAGTTAATTTATTGAAAACGGCGGGCAGCGAACGAGATAAACTAACTTAGTGTGTAAATAAAAATAGCTCGTCTACGATTGGGATGTTTCTGAAGGGGTTTTGTGACCTCGATGGGAGTCTTGGAGCTTGGACTGATTTCAATATTGCAGTTTGTTAAGGTCTCAACATATTGCTAAAGTAGGTGAGGATGCAATTTGCAAAAGATTCTATGGATCGACGTGTGAAGGGCCTAAGAGCCTCGGTCTTTTGCAGGATAAGTCGTCAATTTCTCGGTGTTTCAACAAAATATACGAATTATTAAAGCTAGATATAATTAAAACTTCTGTGTTGTAAAGAAGAAATAAAACTATACGCTTCAAAAAATTCGAAATTTTAAGCAAAGATGAGCATGCAATGACTTTCTTGATTTATTATGTTTTAATTTTTCAATCTTGCAATGAAAATAATTCCTACAATATTTCTTTATTTTTCCCTCAAATCAAGATTTGTAAGTATTGTGCATACATATATAACCCTTCAGGGCATGTGCATATATTTATACCTCCAACTTATGCTATCATGTATGTTCATTGCCCCATCAAATTCATTAATTCGCATTCATTGAATGACGGTGGGATTCAAATAATTTCCTTCTAAAAAAAGGTTGAAAACTCGTCCACAACAAATAAACTCGTCCACAACAAATAAACTCGTCCACAACAAATAAACTCGTCTTTCATTCTTTCATCCAGTTTCCAAATGTTTGATATCTTTAAATATTCAGTTTCGTATACCCATATATGTAAGCTACATTTGCCTTTGTTGCGAGAATATTATCTTCTTCCTTTATTTTCTTTTCTAACTTTATTGTCAGTTCTCTGTAAACCTAGCGGTGTTATAAAAGAGCAAAATTAAATAGTAAATACGAAATGTAAGGAGGTTTTTGAACTCTTTTCAACAAGAAATCTAGAACTCAAATAACTCTTAATAATCAAGCGTCACGAAAAAGGAGAGAACTGATCATTTTTAAACTTTTCATTTTGGAATTAAATTTTTCAGAGCTGATTGAATTCTTCAATAATTTAATTTATGTTAATACGAAGCAAAAACTTATTTAAGAACACATACACGCATAATCGAACATAATAATTAAGATCTCTTTATATTTTGAGAATTAAAGAGAGACTAAGAAATTTCTATTGAAACGATTAACAAAAGAAGTTTTCTTTTTGAATTAATATATACATAATTAATTTTTATTTACTATGCACTTGCAGATCTCGTTGAAAGATTGAAAGTTCAATTTACTTAGTCGTTGAATTCAAACATTTTTTATTAAAATTTTTTTTTTCTGATTTTGTTGGTGACGAGGGAAAAATCAAAACAAATTCAACTTAACTAGTACTTTACTTAAAATGGGTAAAAACGATGTAAAATTATTCACTGAGAAAAACTTTATAGAAATTAGATATTTTTTATACTCGTAAACAGAACAGACACAAACTATATCCGAAATCACAACAACCATAGCTAATTTTCACATGTAAATGTATTTCCTACCCCATTATTTTTACTTTGAACATAATTCAAAACAGTTTTAGAAATATAATGTTTTCAAATTAGTTATACTTTTTGTCCGTTTATAAAAATAAATTATCTAGTTAGAATAAAAGAAATTTCTGAATGGGCTACAATAATTTGGCATATATTTTGTAGCCAAATTCAAAATATTTTTCGGGGAATTGAGAAGTATTTATAGCACAATTGCAAATCAATTTTTTCTTATTTGGTAATGCTATTATTTGAATGCCAATAAACTTGTGTCCATCAAACCATTTTTAATTGAGTTACATTTAGTGTTGAAAAACGAAAAAAGGCTATTTATAATAAAAGGGCTATTTATAATATATTTACAAAGGGCTTGCCAAAAGTGCTATTTATACATATGTATATCTTTGTTACAATATTTATATACCAAAATTGGATTATCTTCGCAATTCCTGTACATTATATCCTATTTATTTTTATTTCACCCATATAATTGGAATAATTTGAACGCATTTGACTATAAGAAGTACTGAATTATGTTTGTGGTATATAAAGATAAAAATTATTTCTTCTTTGAGTAAAAATATTACTCAAAGATATCAGATATTTTATTTTCAAGGCAGAAATAGCTTCGAAATGGTTTATGACCACTTTAGATATGCTTTTTTTCAGTGTGCTTATTATATGTATGAACGTATTAAACCTTTCTTATTTTAAATTTGCTCTACTGTTTAAGAAAATAATGGTGTGAGATATAAATATAAGTGTAAGTTTTTGATCAACGTCGAAATCTGAGATGGTTTAATGACATCTGTCTGTCTGTCTGTCCTAACGATAACTTAAAAAGTTAAATGATATTTAAATTCGATTCGCGGCAGTGATTCTAGTAGTTGTCTTTAAACTTAAAAAATTATTTAACTATATTTCACAAATTATGGAACCTATAAGAAATGTATAGAAATTTAGCGTAGACAAGTATATTATCGGGACTGTTCTAAGTGATAAAGAATTTTAATTTTTTGATTTCTTAAGGTAGTTACAAATACAGCTTCATTATAAGTTATGTTTGGTCACATTTTAGAAAATATTGAATTTACAATTCTGAAATTTGTATAAATTAATATACGCATTCCGTGATTCTTTATTTCCCGACCATTTAGTCGAATACAAGAGGTTCAACACCACTTAGATATTTTATTTCTTTTCTTGTAAAAAAATCCAGCATAACCTGTCCCATAGTCAGCTATGGCATATTTGTTCGCTCAAAGCATAACAAGCTCGTAGAGACACCACCGAGTTGACATGATCAACTCTATTTTTTCTCGTTTCTTATAATAATTTTACACAAAATAAAAGTAATAGCTATTTATTGTCCATTGTACGCAACGCTTAATAGGTTTCTCTAATTATGTTAATTATTTAAAATGATACTATATGAAATATACAAAAATTGACAATTAATGATTATGTTGGATTAATAATATTGGTGCATTGTATATATTATATGTAAAGTATCGATTTCATATTGAAATATATAATTTTTTTACAATAACAATGGATGTTTATACTTGTAATATATGTATATTTATGTGTATATGTATGTAACAACTATCAAATGAAATAGAAATGTTTCAAAGTATAATATAGAATGAAATCTGATATTATACTCGTACATACATACGTATATTGCTGCCCACATTCGATATTTCATCATCATTGAGCATAGCTGGCTGATTATTTTACCTTATATGAAAATACAAAGTTGGTTACTTATATAAAACGGGTCTGATCTAGTTTAACAAGTTTTTTTTCTTTTAATAATAAATTTATTATGTATGTAAGTATGTTGATTTAAGTATAACAGGATTTTAACCTTTGATTATTATGTCAACATTATGTCTTAAGACTTGAAAAATATTTTTCATGTCTTAAAACATATATATATATACAATTATCTATGATTTCATATATATATATATATATATATATACATATATATTCACTGAAATCACCCTATGTACATGTATTGTAAATGAATAGAAGTTTTATTTTTGAGTATATAGTGTGAATTTGTTTTCTTTTCTAAAATTATTAAAATATTTTGTTCGCATCATAAACTTGTGAAATTAAACAAATGCGTGATTTGGAATGTACGACAAATTTTAAAAAATCCATGACAAGTAGATAAATTTTCTTTTTGTTCAAGTTTTGACCATTGATACTTTTGTACCCCTCAAGTATTTCTAAGAATGTTGAAAAAAAGACCTGATTAGTTTCACTTTATTCAACTGTCCGCAAAGCTGCATTTTTATGCATTATAAATTCATCTTTCGCTCTATATTAAGAAATTTTTGATCTAATTCTCGTCTCTCCTTAAAAGTTTCATATAATAATATTTATGCTCTCAAAATCGTACATGGACCAGTTTGTGAAAATTAAATGTTTTGAAATTAACAAACGTTTTTTAAATGAAGGACGTCTTACATGTTTACAATTTCAATTTTGAACAAAACAATATCCCGAAACTGTAATATTTATCAAAACCATATTTAAGAGCATAGAAGCTAGTAATGTTGAATGTAATGTAATGTAGTGTTTTTAAGTTAAAATAACATTTCCTATAGAAATTTTAGCTTTTATTTTATTAATACGTATATTTTTTCTGTTTTCAGGCACTTATTATAAATGTAACAAGCATATTCTTTGATTTAATTTGTATCATTGCATTCTTCAGTCATATGAGTAAGTATATTACATATATGAAATTTTTTGATCCAATATCAAAAAGTGCATACTTAAAACATTGATTTTTGAATTTTAGATGGCTGGGTAATAGCATTTTCAATAATTAACTTGATAATACGTCCGTTTACATCGATTTTACTGCACCGTGAATTAAATGAACGGGGTGGCGTAATTTCAGCACCTGTAACTATATTTCCAGCTAAGCAACAGAGATCTTATGAAGATATTGATAGACCTCATCAACCAGTGCCGACTAATAATTCACAACCGCCACCGAATGTTTCAAGTATTTTTTAAACAAAATCAAAAAAATATTAACTATTTATTAGATTTTAAAAATTAATGTTATAAAAAAAATATTTATTTAATATCTTGTTATGTCATTAATTTTTAGTAACTATTAACGAACGACAAAAAAACTGATTTGATCATAAAAAAAGAAAAAGTCTTACATATTTTTTTTCTTAAAAACCATCTTAATTAATCAAAAATATTTTTATTTTATTTTTTTTTTGAATACAGGACCACAAAATCCAAACCCTTCAGTGTAATTGCAGAGCCTATATAGATTTGTTTGCGCTTTAAAATAATGTAGATACATTTAATTAGATCCTCTTTTTTAAAAAAATGGTCGACTTTTGTGCTAAGAAGATGAAATTTAAATAAAATAAAGTTTAAGAGGTAAAAAATTATAAGTTTAAACAATAAAAAGATCGAAAATCTAGATTCATTCATCACTGTATGTCTATTTCATATTATTTTCAATGAAGGTGTGCATTTGCCTCTAAAATGCTAACAGTTCTCATAAACACTATAGGTAATAACTTTCATTTTTTCATTACTTCCACTTATTCCAAAAGCGACTAATACCGCGATATTCTTTGTTCATTTAAAATGTATTATATAAGTTTAATATCAGATTAATTTAATATCAAAATTCATAACCTGCAGAGTATGCGTTAAATTTCGATTTAATGCGTTACTCTGCAGGTGCAGATTTCGTAATGAATTTATTGCTCAATTGCTTTCTTGTTTTCTTAAACATTTTAAATTTATAATTGTGTTTGTGGTGTATATTAAATCATTTCTAATTTAGGAAGGTGTAAGTTTTGCAAAGATCGAATCTTTATCTTGGTTCACTATAGTTTATTTGCTTTTATCTTCATTTTACATTAAAATCATTTTCATTATATATTGGGATTATTAATCATGCTCACTAATTTCCTATATTGTTAATTCTTATTTTAATATTTTTTTAATGTTAAATTTCTTTAAAATTCGCCAATATTCTTGAATTCGTCAATATTTCATTTCTCGACTGAAAAGATGGTTTTATATTTAAGGCTAACTTAAACGATTACTTCTAATTTTTAAAAATGAAATTTGGTAAATTTTTAAACTATAAAATAAAAAACAAGTTAATAATACTAAAATATTATAATTGTGTGTATAAAATAATAATAATAAACTGTTTTAAATTTTTATTTAAGTTTAAGAATATTAAATAGAAAAAAATTACTGTTATTTATATTTTAAATTTTTTAATTTATATTTGTTTTTTTGTAAAATTTTAATAGAAAATCGTTATTTTAATTGTATATGAAAAATATATGAATTGTAAACAATATTTTAAAAATATTTTATACATTTATAAAGCAAACTAATAAAAAACAATTTAAACAATATTGAAATATCAAACAATATTAAATTTGTATAATTTGTAATATTAATAAGAAAGCATCATAGAAATAAGATAAAGCAATTTTTTAGTAAAAAAATTAAATTTAATCGGAAATTTGAGGCATAATAACACAGCCTATACCTTATTAAATATTAATAAGGTATAGGCTAAGGTATAGGGTCGCATTTTGAAGTTGAATAGGCCGCATGCTTCCCATGGTCCGCACTTTGCCGACGACTGGTGTACATGATTGAAAAATATTACCAAAAATAAAATATTTTAATTAATGGTACTGAAAATATCTGTAATAACAATTCCATATAATAATAAACTAAAATTTCAGTATACATATTAGTTAATTATTAAAATTACTCGAACAGTAAAAGTTTTTGCAGAAAAAAAAATAAAGCAGAAATAAAGTAAACTAAGTTAAAAAATTCAAGTAAAAATTTAAAATAGAGTTTAAAAATATTTTCTTTTAATTGTAAAAATTATTTAATTGCATTGAACTCTAATTATTTATATTGGAAATATTTAAAAAGAAAGTAGTCTTGTAATGACGACAAATTTAATTCAATCTTTCTTAAAACAAGTAATCAGAAGAAATAGAAAATTTAAAACACCATTGTACATTAAGTTGAGCATATAAAATTTTGCTCTATTATTGAACTAGCTAAGTTTAAAACCCACATATTTACATTTTTGGATGGTAACAAAAGAAAATTTTAGTTTATTGTAAAATTGTTGTTAAATCATTATAAAAAAAATATTTCCATTCTGTTATTTATTTTTATTTTAGCAAAATAAAACAATCTAAAAATTTTTAAATCTACTATTTATGTACACCTTTTCCAAAATTTACTCTGGAATAATTCACCCATTATTAACATTTAAAATTATAACTAAAAGTAAAAAATTTGAACCAAATAGTATGTAAAATTTTTTATAAGTCTAATATCAGATTCATTTTTTAGGTGTACCAAAATAATCACATGAAATTTATCACCTGCAGAGTAACTCATTAAAGCGAGTACACAAAATCAAATAAAAAAAACTACCTTTTTAAAAATTAATATGACATTTTTAAAGAAAAAATTATGTTATTAATAAAAAAAACTATACGTACTCGTATATAAAAAAACATTTCAACTTAATTTTTTTACAATAAATAAATTAATAAATTAAATTTATGATCAATTTAAATTTAACAAGTTCTATTATTAAATTTTATATCATGTTATATTGTAATCACAATCAGTGGAAAACGCTTTTATTAAATTAACTATATAAAATGTTAATTTTGCAAGATAAATTTTTGTTTTTCTTATTTTTGAATACATATGCCAAATCAATTGAAATTTTACATAATTAAATGATTGTATAAATATTAAATTTGAATTAAATTGAAATTTTAACGTATAAAAAATTTTATAAAAAAATAATTACATAAAATGTAAAATTTTTGAAAAACAATAATGGCATTTCCTAGTTTAGTTAATAAATTAATTCAAAAATAAATTTTTTAAAATTAGAAATTAATTTAAGATTTTATCAAAAAACTTGGTGATGAAGACCATTTTTTAGTCTTTAGCCATTTTAGTGCAATATTGTGTTAATTATTACAATTTAAATTATTTAAAAATTATTAAAAATTATTTGGTATTGTACCAAAAACAAAAAAAAGAAGGTTTTTATATGCAAAGGCTAGGGGATTTTAGTTACAAAAATGTTACACTAATTTATTATACTTGGTTATTGATAATGAAAATGGGAGTTTACCAAACTAAAATATTAAAATCAATTTACTGAAAGATTTCTAATTAATTTTCTTATATTACTTTTTAGAGAATTTTAAATAATCCAGCAATGATAAATTGTTAATGTTTTGTAAAATAAAAATAAAGAATTTAAATTTATATTCAAGAAACTAATTAAATAAAGTATACTTCATAATTTTACTTTGGGATTATTTAAATGCTATCAATTGAATAAAATCGAATATTTTTTAAATAAATGCAATATATTTTTAAATCTTATAAAGAATAAACTTTTCTATTTTCAACACATTGTTTTTTTTTTTGTAATTGTATAGTGATTAAAAAATTTTACTTTACTTTAAGTTACGTGACAAAGCGTAAAAGATTTTATATTAATCAGAAAGAATGTAAATTCTGGAGATTAACAACTAACAGTTAACAAAAAAGTCGTAATTTAATTAAAATATTATAAAATATATTTATAACTTAAAATAAATGAAATTTTAATGATGTATTTGTGTATGTCTGGCTGTTTGATTTGATTTTTAAAATTTTCTCTATTAAGTATTCCTTGCTCAAATATTTTAATTTTTTGCAACTTGAAATAACTCGTAATAAACATTACGGTTAATAAACATTATTAGTTATTTGTATAAGATTTTATCTCTGATTAAATTCTCACAAAAAATATTTAGCAATATTTGTTCTAAAATAAGAAGAAAATCCTTTTTAAATTTAAGGGGATTTTCGATAATTCAAATCGGAAAATCAGCAAAAATAACATGTCTGAAATGATAGTTATACTTAAAGTTTTAAAAGAATATTTAAGGTTTTTTTATAGCTACTGCAAAAATATTATAAACTAGAATGCCGAATAACTATTATAAGATATATATTTTGTTTCTGCAGATTTTTAAATATGAATTGAAAAGACTTAATTTTCAATTTAGAAATTTCAATATATATACATATGTCTGAATATATACATACATCTTCATAAACTAAAATATTAATTGAAAAATTTTTTTTGAGAAGAAAATGGATGGCATTTCTCGCTCTTGTGATTTATAAAATTTTAGTTAAAAAAATTATACTTCTTATTTTTTTAATATTGTCGAAATTAACTACTACGAGCAAAAAAAGTATTGAAATAGAGAAATTAATTAATTTGATTTTTTTCTAAATAATCAGATAAAACAAGAAAAAAGAATTTAACCCTTCTTGAACTTGATTAATACTAAAATGTGAATTCTGAAATATAATAAACTCCCCTGTCATCTATTTAAATACCATAGAGATTCATTTTTGAATTTTTAACTATTGCGATATGCGCACTACCGTTCATTTTTGAACATCACTATTATAACTTTGGATTCAACATTACTAATTGTGTAAGATTCTAAATATTTTTTATATATAAAAAATGAATTTCTTGCTGTTGCGCAGTTTTAGCAAACAATTCTTACAAAGGTTTTGTTTGTGCTCGTTATAACCAAGTTTATTATTATAGAATTCAGCTTTGTACGAGTATATATTATTATTTAACTTCATTTGACATTCATTATCGTGATAGCCTAAGCGTATGCAAAAAAATTAAGTAAGATTTTAAAATATAAAAGAGATCGTGTAGAAGTAAAAGACAAAAATTGAAATGAATAAAGCTTTATGGAAAAAAGGGTGTATAATTTAGGTTAACATTAAAATAGAAAATTTAAAGGGCAAAAAGTGTTCCTAAAAAAATGTTTACAAATACCTTATTGCGTTTAAATAAAAGCAACATTAAAATTTATATTTAAAAGATTTACTACTATTTACAAATAAATTAAAAACAATCTTCATTATTCTTTTACAACCTTTATAATGATATACTAAGAGAACCTATTTTCTATCCTCCAAAAATATCATTGCAATTTTTACATCCCTTAAAATATTTTTAATTGCTAGTAACTATTTTTCTGTTGTTTAAATTAATTAAAGCTAAATGCGATAACATAATTTATAATTTTATAATAATGCAATAATAATAACTTAAACTAAAATACTTTTAATTTAACAACTGAAAAAAGTTAAAATAAAAAGTCGTCAAACTTTGATTCAATTTTATACATACATACAAACATGTATGGAAATGTGTAGTCTATAATATAGAGAACTATTTTTGATTAAGAACAAAAATAACTGAGACTTGTGTATAATAATAAAATATTTTTTCATAATTATTAAAATCAGTGCTTAAAAATTTTTAGGTCCACGAAATTCATAACCACTATTTGTCATCTGAAGGCAAGGAACCTAAAAGTAGAAAAGTAATAATAGTAGTTTATAATCATAATTAGTAGAATCAGAATTAGAAATTTAGATAAATATGTAAAAATGTTAAAAAAATATGCCTACAATAAACTTACTTGTATAATATTAAAATAAAATGATCCCATTACTTGTGAAGCTGTTGTATTTGTGTCTTTTAAACATGAATAAAGCATATCGTCGCAAGTGCAATGTGATCTAAAAAGTAATAATTTAGTCAAAATTAAAAATTACAGCAAAATTTTAGTAATATAGTTTGACAGTATGTTATTTACTTTGTATAAACAGAATCGTTCATCAATTCATAACGTTGCTGGTATGCTCTGACTTTGATCGGACATAAATCATGCGTTCTACAACATCTATCCATTTGTTCTTCTTGACCTAAGTCGTAATAATTTCTGGCAACATCACCAGCTCCACACCATTTTGTACCTAAATTTGTTACCAATTAAAATTTTGATAACTATTTAAAAATAAAGTTGGGTCAAACCAATGGTTTGTGTTGTAGCACTTTTCCCTTCAACAAGTGAAAATACTGCTTTTAAATACAGTCTATGTATATCCAGCACACTATTAAAATTATTTTCATTCATAAACAAAACTATTTTTAGGATTGCATATATTTAGGATGAACGATTTATGCAGTCTTTGAAATAAAGCGAAAATTAATATAAAATGGGGTTAACATAATACTCGATTTTAAGGGTTAATTGTGTGAGTTAAGAAAAATACTTATATTTTTTAATGTCATGGAATTTACCGTTAGCTTTTTGTGTTTATAGAAATTTTAAAAATTTTGCGGTTTCGGAAATATAGGGTGTCAAAAAACCAAATTTTACAAATTTCAAGAGGGGATAAATTTGAAACGGCAATTTTGTTTTTCTAAAGTTTAACTATAGTATACCGCGCTAGGGGAAGCAAGCCACTGTCTTTCTGCGTTTGCAAAAATTGAAAAATGCTTATGGTTTCACTGCACTAAATAGTTAAAAAATGGCATTTTTAGGGTTTTGGGGAGGTATAACTTCTAGAGGGGGGGAGATAGGTAAAAATTTTGTTCTACGGAAATAAGTTTCTAGTAAAGATCTATGTACGTATTAAATTTTGGCTTTCTATCTTCAGGGGTGTAGTGTCCACTGACGGACGGACGGACAGAGTGAAACTAATAAGCACTTTTTTTCAAAAAATTTTTGGAAAAGTGCTAAAAACATAAATTTTAAATAAATTAAGTACCTGGTATTATCCCAGAAAATATAACAAATGGGCTGCTTGGTATTATACCTGTGGTTTCAACATCTTTATTTTGATTTGTCCTTCTGATCATTGCTTCCGCATGCATTTTATCAATTGTATCACATTGATCCATTAATTTTAACATTTCTTTAAATGAAATTTCTAAAGGTCGATTTAATTTAGCTAAATTATCTAACAGTGTTTTGCCGTCATCATCGTTGCTGTAAAACCAAAAAAATATAATATAAGTATATGGGTATTTTTGAAAATGCAGTTGTTAAGGTTAGTGCTGTAAAGCTTTAAAAGCTCTAACATTCATTTTGCACTTCAACAAAGTTTTAAAAGCTTTGCAGTTCTAACCTTAACAACTGCATTTTCAAAAACGCCCTATTTTATTAGTTTTGTATTTGAATAAAGGTTATTTGTGTGGAATAATTTTACAGTGATATTAATTTCAGAAAACTTTTTGATTGGGTCCAGAACATTCAGGAAACTCGTATGTAAACATTAATGTTCCTGACGAGTAAATAAATACAACAAATTCATTGGTTTCATTATATTAACGTATATCAGATGCTATAAGTTAATATAATAATTTATTTCAATAAATTGTCAATTCACATCAGAAAATTAAAATTTGTATCTGAAATCAAGGTAAATCCAGCTGAAATGTAGTAAATAGTTTAAATATCAATATTATTTAGCGTTCAAAATGCAATATGACATGGCAGCGCTTTTTTTGAGTGCTTGTAGCATGTTGTTAGAAAAATTTTGCCACGTCCTTTGCTCAGAATTTTATTTTGAAACTTTTTTGTGTCTTTTAAATGTGACTGAAGAAGCCCTTTGGTATATTTATTATAAATATATACTATAAGTGTGTGTACAAAAATAAAAAATTAAAATTTTTGTCCTCTTTTATATTTATTTTTATGAATGCTATTGATTTCTGAAATACCACTTGAAAACCGAATCTAGAAATAATTTTTTACAATTATCTATAACTTTTCCTCTCTATGTTGAATATTCTGCTGGAAATTCAAATATGTAGTTCTTGTAGTATGCATAACTTTTGTTCTAAGAAATATTTTTTAGAAAATGTTGTAGTTTAATTAAATATAATAAACATGTGCTTTGACTCGCAAAACATAATACCAGCATACACTTGTTTGCAACATTACATTGTTTAAAACTTATATTTGTATATATAGACATGCATTGTGTATATTCAAGTTTTGTAATAGTATTACAGATTGAAAAAAAATTGGATTTATAATTCGTTGATTATACCCGTACGAACGTATGTTAGAAGGGTATACTCCACCTGCCTTACCGTTTGTAACGCTAAGAAATAATGGTCTGAGATATAGGCTCAAGTATATGTTTTTGATCAGCGCCGAATTCTGAGTCGATTTAGCTTCGTCTGTCCGTCTGTTCTAATTGAGCTTAGTTCATCAAATTTTCACAAATGATTTATTGTAATTATTGCCAGAACCCCATTTAAGTTGCACATGATCGGGGTACTGATCTTAAAAACTATGAAAGATTTGGTATTGTACGAAATGCTATGAAATTTCTGTAAATATATTAATAGGGCCAATGTGTTTAATAAAAGTCATTGAAATTGCTCGGCTCCTTCTGGTAGCTACCATACAATTTCAAAAGTTATTTGGCTTTATCTTAGAAACTGTGGAGAATTTTAGAAGCTGTGGTATTGAAATTTCACACAAACAAATGTATTGTTACCAATGTGTTTGATAAATGTCGTTGAATTTGCTTGACTCTTTCTGGTAGCAGCCGTAAAACTTCAATAGCAGTTTGGCCATATCTTAGAAAATATGGAAAACACAGCACTGAAATTTTGCATAAGTAAATATGGTAATACGACAACTTAGAGTCTGCCCCATAGTCAAGTAGGGCATATTTATTCGCACATAAGATAACAAATTCGTACGGATATCACAGAGTCAGCCCGGTCAACTCTATTATTTCTCGTTTTTATTTAATTTTCATTTGATTGATGCGTAATTTATAATAGTTAGTTGATAGAGAAAAACGCATTATAGAAAACTCGGAATAAAAATTAAAAAATTGATTGCTATGTAATAGCGTAAGACACTTTAGTTTTCAAATTCAAATTAGAAAAAATTTTTTTTCTCTTAAACTTTCATGAAAATAACATGAAAGATTAAGTGTAATGACATAAATTTCTTCATCATTTTATTGTTATTACTACGGAGAACACCGTTGATCTTGTTGATCTGTTATAACATTCAAATGTTATTAAATAAAGATTTGAAAAAAGAATTTCATATATGAGAATTATTAAAATCACACTTGTGTATACAATATGAAAATTTGTTGATAACAGCAAACTTCGTCAATACTCGTATCAAAGTTGCATTGGCTTAGTGCAGTTTAGTATGCAATATGCGAAATTTTTTTGGAACTTAATATAATTTCAAGCAAAAAAAACTTCATGCAATGTAATAATAATCATGTATTATTATGTAATTACTGCGTTTGTTTATTATTGAAAACAATTTCACATCAATTAACTTCAATTTACTTGTTTATTCAATGAAAAATTACAAAATATTCAAATTTAAATTTATATGCCAACATTTAAGTTGTATGAATTTCCAATATAATTTATTCTATATTTTTTGTAATTTTGAAGCAAAAGTATTAAACACGGGAGCTACGACAGGGTTATTTAATGTAATTCCTCTTTGGTATAACCCCAGGTTTGGAAACAATATTTCATTTCGTAGCATTCAAAAAATGCATTAATTGGTGAAAGGAACGAAGATTTTGTACAATTTATAATCAGTTTAAAATTGGAATTTATCACTATTACCCATAAAATGAATATTTAACCCCGAAAATCCCATTTGAAAATTTTTGGTTTCAACAAAAAGGTGCATTGACTTAAATGACTATAACTATCAAAATTATAAACTGATTTAAATTGGACTTCCATAATTATTAACCATGTCTTCTGCGACATTAGACAGTTTGCTCATTTTAAATATACTTATTTAAAATTTCACTCTCTTCTCGAACCAAAATTTAAAACGAATCAGCCAAGATTGTATTTTGCATTGCACGTACATACAACTTTACATTATGATGTGTCATCTTAAATCTTTGATTTTAAAAATTTTCATACAACGCAATAACAATAAAACTTAAGAGTAGTTTCACTCGTACTACAATTTTGTAATAACATTATCAAACATTCATTGAAAAAGTTTTCCAGTTCTGCTCCTACCCGTCTCTTACTTTTATAGACAGAATTGCATTTAATATGTTTTGTCGATCAGTTAGCTTCTATTTTCTCTCGCGTACTTTTGCTTCGGACTTGACTATAGAAGCGAATTTGGTTGAAAGTCATATCTGATTAATCAACCATACTGTGGGCCTATTTCATAAACATATACCTAACCAAATAATTAACAAATTTTTTACAAATTTATTTGTACATGTAAATATTATTTGGGAATTATGCAATACAGGCATGTTCGGACGCCACATTTGCTTACTTTTTTCTTTTTTTTTCATTTTCAAATTCACTTTTAAACATATCGGTACCGTAAAGTGTACAAAATTTAATTTTAGGGGTGGTTGTACAGTTTAAACACGCAAAGGGTCATATTTTTTTGTTTTTTCTATATTTCCTTTTGCTCGCATTGTGTACGATAGGTTTATAAACTTCTGCAATATACATAAATCGTGGAGGTTTCTCATAAAGTTATTATTTTCGCATTTTGACCTATTTGGGCCACCCAATATTTAACGAAGTTTTTTTTAATTAATTTTTTCTAATTTTCTTTTTTGTTTTTTGCTTAACAATAAATTTAATACACGTATGTGGTAATTTTTTTATAATTACCTAATGTATAAGGCAGTCGAAAAAGCAAGATCTTTGAACTGTGTGTATTAGAATTTCATAAATGATTTTCATTTGTTAAGGTCATAAAGCTGTAAGTTGAAGACTATTTACTTACAATTTTTATTGAAGTTTCAAATACATAAGAAAATATAGTATGGAAAATTGTGTGCAAATTGAAATTTGATTGCATAGAAAATCCAAGTGTTTAAAAAATCATTATAGTTTGTGTAAAAACTTAGCATATAAACACTAGTTTTGAATAATTTCGTAAACAAAACTATTGAGAAGTGTTAAAAATTAAACTTCTGTAAAACGCTCAGCAATTTCAAACTTATTTCAACTATTGTTCTTTTATTATTGTTCTAATCTATGTTACAATCACGTTCTCCCGCAATTTGCTTGCTTTGACATTTTACTATATATAATTTCTTTATTATTATTATATACAGTAATATTGCATGTAATTTTAGGTTCACTAAAACACTAATTGTTTTTTTTATAAACAAAAAAAATTAATTATTTTTGGCAGATTGATGTAAGAGAAAGTTATTCAATTTAATTGTTTTTCAATCACATGTTAACAATTTTCTCAAACCTCTTCCCCCGCTCTCCTCTTTTTGCATTTTATGCAAATTTCTCTTGAGTAAAAGTCAAACACATTGCTTTCAATAACAAAAGCAAGTGCTAATTAAAATATTAACAAATTTGTTGGATCTGATTGTAATGAAATACATGTGTATGTAAATTATATAAAATGCTAATATGCATTTCTTTTGTTAAAATTGAATTTTGTCAATAGTTTTAGCTCACTAATTATAAAACATTAATGTCAAGCGAACGTGATGAAATGTTAATGGAAATTAAAGTTTCTTGCATTATTTTGATATATGGAAATTAATTTAAATGTATATTTAATTTAAAATAAAGTTTTCAGCCACACCACAATCATAATACAAAAGGAAGAAGGTACCAATACCAAAGAAGGTACAAACAATCTTCCTTTTTATTTTCTAATTAAGCTAACTCTTGAATTTTAAACGAATAGGATAATGAAAAATTTAAGTAAGAATTTTTAATTATTCTCACGTACAATCTGATTGCAATGAATATTAAATAAATCTTAGAATGACGGAATACTTTTCTTTCAAAGATTATAATTGAAGTTATTGTTCAAAAAGCTAAAGTTACTATTCTTGCTATATACTATGATGCTTATTGCGTGCTTATTTTGCAAATATAGTTTTTTATAAATTCATTTTTAAATATTTCTTTGACAGAGTCAGATTATCATAATAAAATTCCAAATATTAAGACATTAAATCGCAAAAGAAGCTATAATACCGAATTTCGACCAAATTTGTTTTTTAAATATCACAAATAATGCAAACTAATTTATAGTTAAAAATAACATTAAATTAATAAAAGCTTATTTGTTTTGCGGAGATACACTACTAAGCTGGAGATACAATATTAATTTGATGTGGATTCCAGAAGAGTTCATACAGAGTTTCACCAATTAATTAAATATCATAAAGAATTAGTGAATTAAATACATACCTATATCGCAAACGAAAAACGAAATCTTTAATACAAACACGAAACATAACTGCATATGAAAAAATTATCATAAATTACTTAATGTCAGTAGAATACAAATCAGCTGTTGTATTTATGCTTGCGTAAATTACATGATTTAAATTTTTAATTTTAAAGTTACTCGGTGCACGTATAAAATATCGTAATTAATTTCTTATTATTAATTTTGTGTCAATGTTATTTTTGTAATTATAAGCTCATATATACATACCGGCAAACATAAAATATATATAAAAGAACGCAGATATTATACATATTTAAGCTTTGTTTGTTTTTCAGAATTAAAGTTTATTTTCATAAAGCTATACCTGTGAAGCCCTTGAATTTAAAATTCGAAATGTTAAAACAAAACAAAGTTTAAAATTGCATAATACAGGAGAATCGATGATTGCACATTCGAGTTTCTCTTTAATACATTAAAAAATATGTAAGAAATAAAAGAAAATTTACTGTAATATAGAGTTTATACAACTATTTAGTATCGCAAATGTACATATTTAAATTGGTTAACAAATTTTCAAAAAAAAAAAAATGTGTCAATTTAATAGCGGCCACTTATGTACTAAAAATTACTGCGATGGTATGTGAAAATTTTTTGATGTGCGAATCAAAGTGAAACAAAACAAAAACAAGGAAAAGCAAAAAAAAAAACTTTCTCTTTTCATCAATTTGTTCATGTAATCGAATTGCAACAATTCATAACAAATCGTTCGGTTATCATTTATCAAAGCACCCCGCACGTATTGAATTCTAGAATTTAGTTTATTACTATTAAAATCCGTAAGCCTAGGATTTAATAATTAAGAGCTTTTCTTCAGTAAATATTTAATTTTTTACAATCGTTTTTCCTAATGTTTTATCACTTTGTGAAATTAGTAACGCACTTGTTTGGGGTCACTATATTGTTAAATGCAACTGTACTGAAAAAAAAAAATTAACCTTTTGTTTATTTTTTTATATAAAATTTATTTTCAAAGTCAAATGCAAATGAAATGTACTAAAGAAACAGAAAAATTTCTTTTGTAACAGCAAAAAAAAACCCAAATACACTAATGGAATGTAAGACACGTAGAGCAGTTTCTTTCAATGATATTGTTAAAAATTTTCTATAAAGTAGACAGCAAAATAAATGCTCCTCCTTGTAAAAATTATTTGTATGTTATGATTTGCAGTGGTTATTTAAGCAATTAGTGCAGTGGCTCTTTAAGCAGTTTTTTTGTATTTTATGTTTACGATATACTTACATACATATATAATATTTTCATGCTATATATGCATATGTGTATTTTTTTTAATAATGTTTATTAATATGAATATTATAATTCTAGGTACAAAATGTATGAAATTTATTTCTGGTTTATCATTATTTTAAATTTAATACAGCAATTTAAGTTAATATTAAGAATAAAAAAAATTTGAAAAAAATTAAATAGAAAATTTAAATTAAATTCAACAATAAATTGAAAAAATTCAAAACGTCCAACAACAAATTGGACTTCTCTATGCAATAAAAATTTTATAGAACAATTCATAAAATTATTCAAGCTTGTTTCTTATTTCTAAATTTCTAATGATACATTATTGAACAGCTGAAAAACTTTGTAAAACATTTTGTATGTTATTTCTTCAAATTCTGTATGTTGTTTCTTCTAAATAAAGACAATAGAAACACACAACATAATTCAGACATCTCTTTAGATATTGTGGCAATAGATCCTTTTTCATTTTGAAAACAAAAACCTTAAAATTAAAACATTAAAACCTTTAACGAACCGACATATAATAATAAAATATTTATTGAACCCATTTTAGAAACTAAAAATCATTTCTCCCGCAAGGTTTTCGTTTTGAAATATCCGTCAATAATGGTGACCTTCTTTTAATTTTAATTTACACATTTCTTTTTTTGTTTCGAAAAAAGATAATAACAAATATTTTGTTTTGTTTTTACATTCGTCGGTTGTGCTTTTAATCTAGTTGAGCACCGTTACGTTTTGATGACAGAAAAAAACGTGATTTCAACATTGAATTTACCTTTTCCGTTTCTTCGTTCTTTTTATTTTTGCTTCATTTAAACATTAATTGGAAAATATAAATAAATAAATAAATAAATACATGCATATATACTTATGTAACATGTTGACTAAAATGACACATCTCGAAAAATTTTAAATTTGAGTTTGTATTACAATGCATAGAATATGTGCAAGTTAATTACATCAATGTTACTGTTAAAAACTTCTCTTTTTATATGAGAAATTATTTTAGTTATTTATTAACTCCTTATGAGTTTCTCACCCTTATTGTAAATCTCATTCGTAGCACTGAATTTCAGTGAAATTACGAATTTTATATTCTGAATTCGGAAGTAGTAGCAATGTATTACGAAATTCGTAATAGAGTAATAATTATGAATCATACTCGTAATGAAAATAAATGTCAAAATTCTACTAATGAAATTTTCAAGCGTAGAAAGGCAGTATTCAAGATTTTTATTTAGTAGAATTTATTTTATTTATATTATATTAAAATTTTAATTAAATTTTATTATTTTGTAAAATGTCTATTATTTTTTTAAATATCTACTATGAAATTTGAAAAATTTAAATGTTGTCACTTGACAGCTGTAAAAGATAACGGTTTTGATTTATAATTACTCAACAGTCTACGTGCGTATCTTAACTTGCAATTTGTAGAATTCTACGAGTGAGATTCACAATAAAGGTGATTATTTACTTTTTTGAGCTATTTTTTAGTGGACTAACAAAAAGAGTAACTTTAAACATTTTAAAAGTTTTAATTTCTGCTCATATTCATAATAAATAAAATGACTAGTATGTTCTTGTTTATTTAGGAATACAATATGAATTTGAGGACGTTTCATAAATTATTATTACTTACTAAATTTCTATTAATTCACAGCCTAAAAGTAATTTATTTGGTCCCAATTCAGTAACAGCAACCGTCCTGTCATGATGATAGATCATTATGAGCGAATCATTGCTTATACGACTCCCACTAAAAAGAGAAACAGGCGTGTTTGTTATTATTTAATGAAATATGTATATGAATAAGTTTGGGAAAAAAAAATTGGAACTTCAAAATTTTAAAAAAAACTAAATACTCACCTATATGATTTCATTAGGGTGGCACTTCGTTTTCTAACAAATTGCTCAGTTAGTGATGTAAATGAAGAAAAACTTTGTGGAAATTGAAATGATAAAGTTGGTTTTGCCCTAGCTGTAGTCAAAAAAGCTAATACTGCACTCAACAAAACACATAGTATTTGTAATTTCGTTTTAGAGCATATACCCATTTTCTCTAAGAGTTCTAAATAAAATTTTAATATTAAAATATTCAAATTATTATTTTATTCTTCCTTAATCATACATCTAAATTTTTTTTTATCTTTTTTTATGATTCAATCGTTGTAAGTACTTGAACTTAAGGATATTATCATCTTATAATTTATGTAAAACGTCGTAAATTTAATTTTATTGCTTAATTTATGGCAATGTCCTATGTTTTTAAGGATCAAGGCCTTAAAAAATACAATTACTTCAAAATTGTTATAAAAAATTCGGACATACATATTAGTTTTTTAATGATTAATACCGACATTGTTGACAATAATAATGGTAAATTAACTGTTTTCTACAAATATATGCGCATATGTAGGAGTTTTTGTGTATTCGTGTTTATTGAAGGTTATTTATAAATTTTAATGTGAAAGATACCAAAAAAAAAATATTGTCATTAATAATTGGTTTTATGTTCTCTATAATTATTTTCCAATTAATTTAATAATATTTTAATAATTATAGGTTCAAAACTGATTATCTTCAAAGGTGTTAGTGTTAACGACAATAATTGTAAATAGTAATAGAATAGTTATAAAAATTTACGTGTTTTTGTTTTTGTATGAAAAATTTCTGCTCCTTCTTCTAAAAATCCTTTCACAATACCATGTTATAATAACCAGCAAAGACGAAGATTTTTAGATTCCGATTTAACTTTAACTTTACACAATGCAGTCCTTATTTATGTACGTATAATGTAAGAATTGACAAGAGAATAAAAGTCATTTTTATATATATGTAGATCAACGTGAATGTAATTGTATTCAATTTTCAAAACAAATGGAACAGTTATATATTTTATAATGGCCGTTTTGAAATAAATTATTTATGAATGAAATTTTTTCAACATATGTTAGAGTTTTGAAATTTTCCTATCTTTTTATATTTTATACATAATTATACTCGTACGAATGTATGTTCGAAGGGTATACTAAATTTTCCTTACCATTTGTAACGCTAAGAAATAACGATCTGAGATATAGACCCAAGTGTATGTTTTTGATCAGTGTCGAATTCTGAGTCGAATTAGCTTTGTCTGTCCGTCCGTCCGTCCCAGCGACGACTCAAAAGCTAATTGAACTAAGTTCACCAAATTTACGCAAATGATTTATTGTTGTAAGTGCCAGAACTCTATTTGAATTTTACATGGTCGGGGTACTGGTTCGAGCGCCATACAACATCAAAATTTATTTGTCTATATCTTAGAAACTATGAAAGATGTGGTATTAAAATTTCGTACAAGTAAATATATTAGTAGGGCCAATGTGTTTGATAAAAGTCGTTGAAATTGCTTGGCTCCTTCGGGTAGCTGCAACAGTAGTTTGGCCATATCTAAAAACACAGTACTGAAATTTTGCATATATTAATATGGTAAAATGGCAACTTAAGGTGATAGTCTGTCCAATAGTCAACTATGGCATATTCATTTGCATATACAGGATAACAAATTCGTACCGGTACCACAGAGTTGACACGGTCAACTCTATTTTTTCTCGTTTTAAATTAAATATTTATTTCGTATTTTCGAAAGTCTTTAAAAATGTATAACAAAAAAGTCCTTTGGGCTTCAAAACTATAATAAAACAAAATACAAACTAATAAGTTTTAATATCGTACTTTAGGAACTTTTACCGTGAAATATTAAGGTGAACAAAAAAAATTAAAACTGAAGCTGAGCTTGTCGTTGCACATGTGTATGTATGCTTTTGCCAAAATATTTGAAAAAACCATCATGCAATTAATAGTTAAAAATAATCCTGAATTCAAAACGTCTGAATCACTAATTACGCAAAAACTAAAAACTAAGTATAAGATTATAAAAATATTATTGCGTTATCCGCATTTTAAATTTAAAACTTTTCTCTTTTCATTTTACCAAAATTTCAGATTTGGTTGCCTGCGAACTTAATAAAAATTTAATATCGAAAATTTGATGACCGTCCACTCAAATTCATGTCTGTACTTAACTTGGCTTTAAATTGGTTTAGAAAAGGTTTTTAATACAATACGAGTAAGATAATAGACAAAAAGAATTCGGACGGACTGATGAACAATCGTTTGAAAATTAATTTACATAAGAACTGACATTATAACGACCATTATAACGATGTCTTTGAATTAATCAAAACTTAAAATATTATCTTTAAAATTATTCCAAATAAATTAACTTTGTGCTTTTCGGATAAATAAATAGCAAACGCACATTATCACCAGTCATATGAGGTACAACTTAATCAGTTAATATTCATGTTCAGACGCTCTGGCGCTGACAATGGAGCAACGGACTTCTTATATAAGGAAGTGAAAATTGATAGACTATGTTAAATAATTGTATTGCGTAATACAGAGCTAATAATTTGTTATGTCTACTCTGGAAGCGAGTATGGCCATTAGACTTTACGATAAATTTCTTATATACATTATGCAAGCAATTATTTTTATTACATTATTATTACAAAACAAAAGCAAGAACATTTGTCAGTTTTTATTGGACATTATTTTCTACAAGATTTGTATTAAATAAAATTCCAGCTTATACTTTTTTTTCCAACAACATTAAAACATATTGCAGTCATACAGGAAAACATATTACCTCAAATAAGACACATAAAATTTAACAGCTTCATTACAGTCGAGATAAGCTTATTGTGAGTTAAAATAATACAAATAAATAAAATAAATAAATTAAAATAAGTCTAAAAACGCATCATAGAAAACTTGAAAAAAAAATATATTGATTTTAAATTTGCGTTATATCTAAAATGTGATTTACTCGTATATGACATATTTTGTGTCTTCTAAACGTTGTATTAATAGTAGAATAAAGTTTAATTTTATAAATTACACTACACAAAAACGAGCAAAACAAAGCAAATAACAATAAATTTAGAACGCAACTAGCCAATACGATTTAATTCTTTTGAATCCGGGGCAGAATGAAAGTAAAAATAAAATAAAAAAAAATAAAAGCATAATGTCATAACTTGGATCTATTATTATCTTTAGAAAAAAAAGAAGGGATCGATAAAACAGTCATTAAATTTTGAATTATTAAAAAAGTGAAATTGAAAAATGACTAGTCATGTTTTTCCACCAACTTTAACTTTATTCTGTTTTCAATAAAATTTTCGAAAAAATCGTACTGTCAAGTCCAATTAAAGCTTTTAAATATTTTTTATTTTTAACGTTCTGATTAGATTTTGAAATTATTGAAAATTTGAATACTTTGTACTTGTTTTGCACCAATTTTGGCATTTTTACTTTAGGGGAAGTTCCCGAAGCGTATTTATTAATTTGTATATTAATCGCTTTTTCAAATTTTTAAATATATATTTAAAAATTTTCAAGACAATTTCACTATTGCATGTAACTTTAGTTACCTCAACTCTGAAAATAAAAACGTGTATTAACAATAATATTATCCTCTAATACCTTACATACAAAACAAAAAGTGCGTACTTTATAATATTGAGTAAATAAAAATTGGAAAATGACTCATATAGTCATGTAAGAATGTTTTGTTGTACAACTTGTTGTCTGTTTAAAAATTAAATAAAAATTTTGTCAATGTACCCCCAACCAAAACATGAACAATATAGTGGTTCATGTTTTGCTTTTACGTATATTTGCGCATGTTGCATCGTTTGTTTCGCAAGTAGACTAATCCCACTTTTATTACAATTGAAATATTTCGTTTAAAATTGTTAACGAATCTGGTTAAATGATAATGGGTTTAATCTCAATTTATTCCTCTTTGCAACGACATTATATCATTGCTGGTAAAATGAAAGGAGTTTCTAAATTACTAATTTACTATAGGGACCACTTTTAAAATAACGTTCCTTATGTACATACGTGTACATTGCACGTTTTGTATATGATTGTTTACAGTTAACATTATTGTGTGATATATTAATAATTAATAAGTTTATTTCGAATTATCGAAATATTTTTGATTATCACTGCATGTTTAATTTATTTAAGCATTAAATCAAATTATTAAATAAGAAACATTGCATTTAATTTTCCGTATAATCGAAATATAAGCTACAACTGTACCTATTCAATAAAATAAAATAATTAAAACAATTCTATTGTCTCGAGCCTTCAGGTTTTCAAGTTTTTATTAAGAAAAGAAAGTAGGTACATGTCAGTTATTTGTTAATATAAAATTATTACATACATATATACTTGTATATGGAGTAGAAATGCGATTATTAACAACAGTAATTGTTATATCATCTTTGCTATTGTATTATGGGAACAAGTACAATAAAAGCAGTAGACGCATGAGAAATTTAAAAAAAAATATTACGACTTAGAGATTTATTAATTTTTCAATAAATTATAAGGTCGAAGTGAACTTAAAAAATGTGTGTGTATACATATACTTAATATGAAAAGTTTTGAAAATGTCAGCAAAATAGATTTAAGGGTTAAGACTTTTACAGTAGCAAAGTTAAATTTTCGAACGTAGTCGAAAATTTGAAAACATTATTTAACATTTAGACTTAAATGTTTACAAGTGTGCAATGTATATATTTTTATATCGAGACAACATTCATTACACACATGTTCTTTCAATACATGAAATTCGAAGGTTCCTGTTATAAATATTTTTCAATTAGGTTCAATGTTCCGGGTGAGTGCCATTTATAAGTGGAATATTTCATTGCTAGTGAGATTTATTGCATGAAAATGAGATAGAAATTTTTAATTGCTCTTTATTTTAAATTTTTGCTCCCATTTTAATTTTTCTGTTTTTTTTTTCAATTATTATATGGATAAAAGATTCACAGTTTATGGTAATTTTGTGATTTTTTACAAAGATTAAATTTTAAACAATAAGTACAGAGTTTAATATTTGATTCCGTGTTTTTACTTTGAATCGAATCTTACAAACACAATCAAAATTTATTTTGAATAAAAATTTTTAAGGTTGAAATTTTGAAATTGGAAAATTTATATTTTACGAATTAAAAATAATTATTTTATTGTTATGCTAATATAGAAATCTAGAGAACGAAGAAGTTGATTCTGTCCACTGAATTATAATTCATATATTGCTTGATTCACGTAATTTTTTATGCATGGAAATTATATGCGTTAGTCGCGTTGCGCTGATGCTTGAAGATCACAATTTTCGGATTTATCACAATTAAGCATTCGGAATGATTTATAAATAGATAGGGTTTTTAATCAAATTTTATATGGATTTACAAATATGGTTACAAATTTAATGATTTGTTAATGATTTTGAAATTAAACAACGTTCTACTTAATTTTTTTTCCATTTGACCCTTATTGACATAATTGTAATTCACCAAAGTTTTTGGTACAGCACTCACTTATGTAAACTAATTGTAGCTATTATTGTTTATGAAAACTAATTACATCCTGAAAGATCTAGAATGCTTGTTAAATGTTCCAAATTTCAAACTGGTTTAAAATAAAGTATAACATCATTTATAAAGTTTTTTAAAAATTTAAACATTATCAAACAAACATGAACTATTTTTTTTCAATCACAACTCGTTTTTGAAATCTTTCCGATTGTGAAAATAAAGTTTAATCATTTTTTTTTGTGTAAAATAAAAAAAAATGAATTTTTATAGATTTTGATAGATTTTTTTAATTTCATCCAGGAACTATTTTCTATAAACATTTTAATTTTAATTTTCGTTGTATAATCTTTCAAATCAAACCTGATTCAATAATGAAGTCAAATTAAATACACAGCAAAGCTTAATAGAATTCAATTTTAAATTTAAATTATTTTTTATTCATTATTGTATAGGAAATAAAAATTTAAAATTTCTATCTCTTAAAGAAATTTGGCAATGAAATCGATGACCTCCAATTTGAGTTGGTAATAATTCAAATTACCGGTAATTTCAATTTATGTACCAATATGTTTAAATACATATTAATGGATATAAAAGTATGCATGTGTGTTAATTCCATTATAAAATAAGTAAGACAATTATAAAGAATTTGAAGAGTTTTCTTCCGCATTTGTCTTAGTTCTTAACGAGTTTGATTAACAATTTAATGCAAAACACTGTGTGACCTTAATGTATATTCATCGATCATAAATATCTATTTATACGTATATACATACATAGTATATGTACATATATTTACAAAATTGTGCAAAAAATAACTATAAAAACTGTAATATAGATAGACTTTTTTATCCATATTGTACAGTGCAAATTACGCTGCAAATGTAAATATAGTATAATGGTTTGCAAACTATTAATTAAATTATCCAAATTATCTTTTAGTATTTAAAATAAAATTAGAGTTTTTGTGAGATATCGATGTAACGCCAAATATAATCTAAAATAACCAAAAATATGTTTTGTAAATTTCACAATAAAATTGTTAGCTTAGACCCATAGATAACAAACAATCAATGAAATAAAAAGTGGCATATTTTTACTTGACACATTACATAATTTCTACTCGTATTACGGTACATTTTTCCACCATTAATTTTTAAGCCCTAAGCAATTATTCGCCAAATATAAAAATTGTTTTAACTATGAGTAAAGTTGTCCCAAAAATTGTTAAAAATTTTCCAAAAATTATTTATTTTTGTAGAATTCCAATTAGCCTAATGAAAACGGACGTAATCAACATAGGCCTGCCGGTCCTTTCACTTGTCAAAGTCATTTTTTGACATTACTGTTTTAAAAATTTTATTTAATTATAGAATTTGAATTTCACTTAGTTATAGAACTGTACTTTTTTTAATTCTACCATTATTTTTTATTTATTTCGATAGAAAAACTTTTAATTTCAATTTCACACTCACTTTCATTTAAGCTCTTTAGATATTCTTTTAATAAATTTTCCTCTTTCATTTGTTTAATTTTTTTTAAATTTTAAATTTTACAAAAATTAAAAAAACAACGAAATGAATAATTAAAATGAAATAATTAAAAAATTCTTTTACACAGATTTATAAAAGAAAAAAATTATTTAACGCAATTTTTAAAATTTATTTTTAATTATCACTTTTTTTCTTTGGTTTAACAATATTAAGGGGCAAATCTTTCAACTTTGCAAGTAGTTAAATAAAATAAACATTTTATTTAATTTTTCTTTTATTTTGTGACGTTCTGTATGCTAACAGATTCCGCAACAAAATGACTTTTAACCAAAAATTCAAATACTAACAACGATTTTTCAACATCATTAAATCTTGGATCAAAACAGAAGGTCAAGTCAGTAGGTATATTACGTTTGATTTTAGTAAATACTTTTATTATAAAATAATAACTTTTATAAGTAATAACGGTGTTTTTTGTAATTATACAATATTGCTACATTAGATACGAACATTTTGGATGTTTACGATTTCGTATTTTGTTACTTGTTTAATTCACAATCAATTCGATTTAGAATACACTCATGTGTATATAAGTTAACCAATCATCTATTAAACGCGAATAAATAAAGACAAGTAAAAAAAATTACTATTAAATTAAAAGAATAACAAAACAAAATAAATCGTGTTTTTTTTCTCTACTTTACAAAGGCCGACCTGATCTTACCGGAATGTAATTATAGACTGAGCTTTTCTTTTTTTTTTTAATATTTACAAAATTTAACAATTTTCCGAAAGTTAGTAACAAAACAACTATCGTCAATATATTTATTATATATTATGATAGCTGTACATGTTTATACCTACATTATAAAATTACTATTTTTTTACTCGTTTTATTTTCCTCTGGTGAGCGATATTTTACTACGGTCTCTTTCTCTTTCTTCAATACAAAACTACAATATAAATGACAATATAATAAAGCATAGAGCTAAAAATTATTATAACCAGAATTACTGACTAACAGAATAATTTTTTTGAAGTTGTAAATGGTTATAATCATTGTAACACGTACAGTGCAATAAAATTGTGGCAACCAATTGGAAATTGTAAAACAAATTTATAAATTTTCGTTTTATGTTACGATTGATCGATAATTACACTATACGAGTCAAAAAATGTTGTCCAATTTTATTTTTAAATGTTTGTTTAATGTAGGTAATTCAAATATGACATTTGTTAACATGTCATATGCAATTTCGTCACAATTATAATATTTTTCCACTACTACCATAAATATAATCCAAAATGATTTGTATTTTTTGCAAAGTAATTTTTGTAAGTTTGGCTGAGGTAGTCGAACTGCAGTCAAACTTTTCTAACTGCATTTTAGAATCACGGACTCATCAATACGAATAAACGAATGTAATACGAATGTAAAAATATCTGTCTTATGTCGAATCGTGAAAACAAAAAATGGTAATTATGATCACAAACATTTACACTAAAATATCATGTTACGACAAATTAACAATTACACATTCTGCATTTGGTATACAGGTATAACTTAACCTAAAATGTATCTGTTATGTTATATGTTAAAACTTACATGATTTGTAAAAAAAAAATCATAAAAAATTAATAAACTTGAGCAAATACAAACCTGTTGCTTAATAATGCATTATTGTGAGTTCCTTGAAATGTAGTGAACTATTAAAGTGAATCGTGTGGTAACAAAACGGCTATGAAGGCAAATGCACCTAATTGCATGTAATAGTTTACATGCATGTAAATAGGACAACATTTTAGTCAAGAAAATTTTGAAAATGTGAAAATAGCATACATATATGTATGTACATATGTATGTATATATGCAAATATTTAATGTATGTACATACGTATATGTAATTTAAACGTGTGTTTAATTGTTTTTTGTTTACCTTTAAAATTTTTGTATTTTCTAGATAATAAAATTACAAATGGTCATTTGTGGCCGTCTCTCCATAATAAAAAACAATTATTATGTACATATATGTACATATAATGTAGGTACTTTAATACATAAAACAAAAATTGGTACAATAAAGAATTTTCACGCTAATTATAGCATATCGGAACCAAGGTTACGGTTGGTATCTCAGTAATTTTCACGTTTTTCGAAGTAGTAAGTTATTCTGATATTTTCGCGATAGTCAGTACTCAGTGATTCTGATGCGAAAAGTTAGAATTTGTTAAAAATTTAACAAGTAACAAATTTAAAAAAGTACAGAATATGTTTGCTGGAAATTTATGATATTATAGATTAAATTATGAAATTAAATTTATGTTATTATTCAATAACAAAACTATTGAATATTTTTTATTAATTTGGATCTGTTTTTCATTAGAGAGGTTTACTTAGGGAATGCGGTAAATTTAAAATTCATAATAAACATATAAGATTAATCAATTCAATGGCATGATAACTGCTTAGCCAAAATCTTTATAATAGTTTGTATTAATAATTATTAGCGTAGCGCAATTTCAATTTTAAATATATAACTTAAACAATTTGAATATCATAATCTATTTTCCATTTTTTATTATTTACATACCTTCATATACATAAGTATACATAAATGGATTAAAAAGCATATAACTCATAACCAATGCTTAAAAAATAATTTGTTTACGATACGGCGTTTGAGAAGCACCTTTACTTACTTTTACTTTTGTAATTTTGCTTTAAACTTTACTATCTTATATCTATAGGTACAAACACCTTATACTCGTATATACAAAAAAAAGAAAGTTTTTTACACGAAGAAAAATTTTTAAAAAAAGAAAATTCATTTAGATATACGTATTTCCAAAGTTTAAAATAAATTAAACTGTGAATAAAATGAAAATCCTTAAGAAAAATTTAACTACTTAAAATATTTAATATTAAATATTTTAAGTGTTCCAATTAAAATATATAAATAAATATCTATGTTTGAAGAAATATTTGAAGAGCTTGACCTTTGTTTTTCGAATCATACTGAAATATCAACTAATATCTAGACTTGCAAATCGTAATACCAGCAAACAAACTTTGTTTGTTGGTGTTACGATTTACGACAATGTATTTTACAATCATGTATTTATTTGATGTATCTCCTCAATAATTAAGCAAATTATTAATAAAAAATAATAATATTACGTTAATCGTATACTAAATGACCTAAATTGAAAGTATTTTTGTAAATACAAACAATTTTTTTTAATTAAGTTTCATTAATATAAAATTATCATAGAGCTAAGATTGTATTAACATACTTGTACATGTGTACATACACACATTTGTATTTATAAGCATTTCGAGGCGTCAAAATCAAAACTTGATTAAAATTTTGCAAATCTTACATAGTTATTTGTTGATACTGAGTTGTTATAACTGTAGTTAATATTGACTTTACGCTACTAAATGTTAAACCTTTAGTTTCTTATCAGTTTCGCAAAAAAAAAACTAAAAATAATAACAACAACTGAATATGTAATGTACCTACACCAATATGGGTACGAAAAATTTGTAGTTAACAAAAGAACTGGTTTGAAAATTTTCATTTTGTTTTTCTTTTTTGTTTTCTTCTCAGAGGCATTTTCTTTGTTTCTTTTAAAAATATCAACCGGCAAACAAGTTTTTAAAATTTTTATAATAGTTATTATTTACGAGTTTTAAATACACAATTTAAAATATTAAAACTAACAACTTCTTAAATGTTTTATGAAAACAAAAGTTTTTAATTCATTTTACATGAAATAAAAAAAATGAAAATGAAATTTCATGCGAATTTATACTTTTAAAAAAGTTTTTCCTCTAAAACTAATGTAACTGTTTCAGTTTATCTTGCTGTTTATATATAAACTAAATGTCACACGCATGTAACACTATTAAACATAATAATATACATATATCAATCATGGTCTTCATGATTCAGCTGAATGGTAGCTAACTATATTTTTGGAAAAATCGAAATCTGAATGCTAAAAACACATCATTCGAAAATTACATTGCGAATAAATAATTGTGTCTCAATCACTTATTCTATCTATATTATCATCTAGTGAATAACAAGGTGGAATGCCAAATAAAAGTCATGAAAATTAAGATATTATTGATTTTAAAAGTATTTGATATTCAGTTTAAACTTTGTAAGATAGTTCAAGTTGGTTGTGACTTAATGGCCCAAGCTATTTTTTTCTTAGTTCTTTTCACATAACTAGATGTTTCCACGCTCATATTAATCCAAATTTTATGTTAATTCAATTTACTTCAGGTGATTTTTGAACGAATTTCCAGTTTTTCTATTTTAAAATAAAGAAAGGCTAATTAATATTTTACTTTTTTAATTTTATTACATTGTTCGTGTTTGTATTTATTTATATATATATATATATGTACATATTCATACCTACATCAGATATATTTAAATTTTCTGCACTTTATGTTTTATTTTTAAAATAAAGCTCAAGCTATACATTAGGAGATTTAATTTTTTTTTTTCTAAATTAATCCCTAAAATAGAAGTTCGTCTAACACTTATTAAAAAGCTTTAACTTAGATAAAATGCTCGTTATCTTTGATGAAATAATAGTAAAAACATTAACTTAACTTTATTGTTACTTTAATTCAAAAATAATATTGAATAATATTGAAAAATTCATGTTATCCTTTTATTGAAAAACATTATAAAAAAAAGCATTTTGTGTTCCGATAAAGTAACATAAAAAACTCAGTTCGTCACTAATAAAACGTAAAATTTAAATATTAAATAATATTTTCAATCAATTCTATTTACTAAGATTTATACATTTTTGCGGTATAAAAGAAAAAATTAATAAAATAAGTATAAACTTCAAAGTACAGAACAATTACAAAAAATAAAAATATTTTACTTTGTTTTAACCATAATTAATTTAAATAATATTATTTAAAAAAAATCCTTTGTAAATATCTTATTTTAAATTTTTATAATAATCTTGATTATAATAATAATAATTTTAAGATTGAAAATTTTTAAAAATTTTTTAGTTCTAAATTTAAACGAATATTACACAATATATAAAATATTTTGGGGTGGAAATTGTTTAACAAATTTTTTTAAAGTTGTATTTTATATTTAAAAAATTCAAGTTAACAAAACCTAAGGCAAAATCTTATGATTTAAGAAATAAGAAATTTAAAATTTTTTCAATATACATAAATTTCTGTAAAATTTTACTGTTTTAAAATCGATTAATACATTATTTTTTATTTAAAATTTTCATTTAAAATTTTTAAATAAAAATTATGAATGTAAACAAAAACTTTAAATAAATAATTTTGACATCATGATTCTTACTAATTGAAAAATAAAAATAATTTAAAATAATAAATTTGAAAAAAAACAATATTTGACTTATTCTAATAAAGTTTTTAAAAAGATGATTTTAAATGTAATACAGACTTAAAATTTGTATTACTGATTTTTTCAAATTGATATTTTACCATTTTCATTATAAGTAATATTAATTTTTAAAAATATGAAATTATACACATGATACATACATTTAATATTAAAATAAACCTAATATTTAACACTGTCGAACGAGCATAGGAATATTGTGGCTTACTTTTAAAATAGTTTCAATGAATTAATTCTGTAATATCTGATTTTACCAAATGTTTATAACTATAACCGCAAAGAATAAAATTTAAAATCAGACCAAATAAAAATTTACATGATTTCAATCTACAAAACTTTGGGAACTGATTTAAAACTTGATATATTAGATTAAACATGAAAACATTCTGTTTTTAATTTAAGCAGTTTTCTTTTATTTGAGGCAGTGTTTATCTTTTCTTATGATACAAGAGCAAAATATAAATACACGCAATATAAAGAAGGAACAAGAAAAATAAAATCTCTGTTAAGAACCAAATATTTTGCTCTTTTTATAACTAAAAGAACATAATTATTAACTTCCACAAACTACTAAACATCTCAATATTTTTGTTTTATGAGTAGTATTTGAATTTTAATTGTAATTTTATCAATTCGAAAGAAAATAAAACCTATCATATTTAATAAAATATCTCACCTATCATATTTAATAAAATGAGTAAATTTGAATTTGAATAACATTTTTGCAATTTTTTTTTCAAATAAATTGTTTATTTTAAAGAAAATAAAATTTTAAATTTGTAACAAATACATATAGATAGCACTTACATTTGCATAATTTAATAAATTATTTTTTTTTATTGAAATATTATAAATCTAGTCGAAGTACAAAGTAATATAAGCAAACAATGTATCAATTAAAAAAAAAAAGATATGTGAATTTCATCAAATTTGTAATAGCTGTTTCAAAAAAAACTTTAACGCGAAAAAAAAGGTAAATATGTTTGCGAAAAAAATTTTTCTATGGAAGTATTTTTTATCTAATTATCAAATTTGTTTCATTTAACTTCAATATTTTTAAAGTCGAAAGCTTTTTTAATACACAATATTTTTATTTATTTTTGTAATTTTTGTTTTATTTTAAACATACATAATATATAATATAGCTGTTATAGTTTTAAATTTTTAAAATAATCTTTTTAAAATACCTTTGTGATTCGATTTTCATATTTTTTTCTAATTCTCATCGTTTTGTCTATAATTTAAAAAATGATAAAAGTATGAAACTTCTTTCTTTAAAATCATTTAGATACGGATAAAGAATCTAATCCTTGGTTCAACTTTACTTTTTTCTTTCTCAATTATTATGAATAAATAAAAAGACTTAGTGGAGCTTTTAAAGCTATATGATTTTAAATGTTTTCCAAATCATTTATTGATATCTAAAAAACGAGTTTGTAATATGTTGCTGTTGCTGTGATTGGGATGACGATGCTGGAGGTGGTTCTTCATCATCCCGTAAAGCTTGTAATGGAGCTGCTTCTGATTTACCATCACCAGTTGGTGAATTTGAACACATTTCAAAAAATTTTTGTGTTAATTCAATTAAACTACTATCATCACAGATTTCTGGATAGGTTGGTTTCTAAAAATATAAAATATACGCATATCATTAATAATAATTTAAATTTTTTTTAATAAAATTAATCACTCTTAAAATTTCATGTTCCCCTCTGAGATTCTGCCATACTTCTAATGTATGACTATAATGAGCCCATTTATCAAGTTCACCTAATCTATCATATATATGACATAAGCCAATGTAATCATATTCTAGTCCTGAATAAGCTTTTCCAAATAAACGGAGACCTGAAAATTTTCATATTGAATAAAAATGTTCTTTTAAAATGGAAACAATATATTGTTTTAATTAAACTCACTTATTTCAATACTTCTCAAGTATAATTCTTCTGCTTCGTGATACTTCAACATGTGATAATTATATAATGAAGCTAAATGACCAATACTTAAACCAACTTCATAATCATATGGTCCTAGTAAATCAGTTTTGATTCTGATTGCTTTTTTATGCATACGTTCAGCTTCTTCAAATCGACCCATACTTTGATATAAACGACCTAAATTTCCATAGTGTTTTGCAGTTTGGACGTTTATCTCACCAAATGCTTCTAGCGATAACTTCAATGCACATATGTGCAATTCTTCTGATTCTATTAACAAACCCTCCTCATCTTTACCATCTGATACTGCCATTTTGTCAAGAGCGATTTCTTCCAATAAAAGTGCTTTAACTCGTTTTGCAGAAGCCAACATTAAATGATTACTCGGAACTAAATTTTTCATCAATTTAACGGCCTTTTCTACATTTTCCTTTGCTAATCTAAAATTTCCTGAGCTGTACTCATATACATAATAGGCATACGAAAGATCTTCATGTGCTATTGCGACATGGAAATTGTTATCACCAAATATATGACGTTTAATACTAAGTGCTTCTTCGTATATATCAACACTTTGTGATACTGAATCAACATTTAGTAAGAAGAAACCGTAATCTAATAACGCATCCGCATATTTTTGATGATGACGTCCAAACTTGATTCTAACCAATATGATAAAACATTAAATTATGTACATATATTATGGAAAAAAATTTTTCTTACTTAGCTCTACGCAAAGCTTGACAAATTAGCATATTAGCTCTTTTAAATTCACGTTTTACAACACAAGATCTGGCAGCCTGACGCAAAACATCAATCACAATTCTAAAAAAATGAACTAATTTACTGACAAGTTAAAAAAAAATATGAACAATAGATACGAGGTTAAATATGAGAATATTATGAGAAGTAATTTTTATCTTGCGAAACAGAAAAATTATTTTACTTACTTTTCTGGAGTTGTTGAATTTAAACAATTCAATGCCTTTATACTCCACTCATAACTTTTCGTATATTCACTTCTAGCAAAGAATAACACCGATAATTGCGCATATATATTAGCTAATAATGATTTAGGCAAAACATAGGATGTTGTTGTAAATTTATTCAAAAAGCTACTATTTGAAGACTTTACAAGATCCATAATAGTCTGATAAGTACGATCAGCCGATTTAAAACTACATAAATTTGCTTCTGAATGTAACAATCTTTAAGGGTAAAACGTTTTAATTAAAAATTAATATTCTTTCTATTTAATTTTTACTAACCTTTGCAAACAATCCAGACGTAAAAGTAAAGTAGATTGAGTTAATTCACATCGTTCTAAACGACTAGCAACACATGATAAAATATTAATACTCTCGGATAACCAGCCGGCTTCTGATAAAAATGAACCTAGACGTAAACCAAAATCAATTGCATTATCATCGAAATCATCGCTAAATGTTTGATATGTTTGTGATATTATTTCAGAAGTATTCGATAGCTGAACTTTTGGCATCATCACATAACGCATTATAAATTTATTTTGTAATTGAGTTGCTAATGGTTTACCGCTGCTCATTAGAGCTGATAAGCATTTAAATAGCTTTTGGCGTGCTGCACTAATACGTAAAAGTCGACCAAATACTTCTAGATCAGTCAACTGTTCATTTAACATATCACGAAGTTTATTTTTTCTTGCCATCTGAAATTATAAATATTTAGAATGCTTTATAATCTTGTTTAAATTCATTATTTTTATTTTTTTATGTAAACTGAAAATTTTCTAAAAATTTTGAGTTTTTTTGTCGATAATTTCATTTACATTAATTCACACATTGTATGCTACATTTTAAGAGTAATTAAATAAACATAAAAAATACTAGTTCTAACACTAATATTTAATTCACATAAGGAGAAGTGCATAATAACAATAATTAAAAGTAATTTATTTATATGTGTTTAAAACTAGAATAACCCAGACAATGTAACTCAAAAAATTTATTGCTTATGAAAATCGAATTTTTTTTTGTAAATAAAAAAATATTGTTTGCTTTCTTTTGGTGGACTAAGATTTATCTGCACCCGCACTATGTGAATAGAGCTTTTTAATCAGTTCGTTAACATTGAATTTAATACAACGTTAAAATAAAAATTATATCAGTATTTAATAAATTTTATTGATTCTCTGAATTTCGAAATAAATTTAAGTTTAATACTAAATTTAGTTACTTTAGAAAAAAAATAAAATCAAAAATTGATCACGACTCATTCAAAATCTTCTTCCTCAAAAATAAAAAAAAAATCTTGAATGTACAAATCTCCATAAAAATCATTACAATGATATTGAAAACGATATCGTTTCCTTGTTGCAAAATTAAACTATTACCCTATTAAAAAATAATACAAAAATCATCAGCATAATTACTTTGGTATGGGTTTATTTGGTATTCTTTGTCGGTAGCTTGTTCACAAATAAGTACGAATTTTATATATATACATATATGTATATACATATATATACCCATACGCATTATTAAATTTTTATTTATTTCAATTTTGCTTCTAGTATTCTTTTGAATACTAATTAATAATATTGTTTAAGTAACTACATTCTTTTTTATACAGAGTGCTATCTTTAGGTTTCAGCATTATCATTTAGTTTAATGATAATGAAAAATAAAAAATTTATTTACTCAATTGAGATTAATTTTAATTAAAAGTTGAATTTATTTATCGTTTTTTGAGAAAAACATTCATTTCAATCTATTACAGATAATCTAATATAGAAAGTTTGAAAGTTTTGGAATAAATTCATTTTATTGTTGTTAAAACTTAAAAACATTTTGAATAAGTTTAAATATCAAAATATATCAAATATCAAAACTAAATAAACTGAATTGTCTATAAATTATCCAAATTAGAAATTGAATTTTTGGTATAAAATTTATTTAAGGAATTTAATTATTTTTTGGATTCTTAATTTTAAAAGTTATAATAGAACTTTTGCATCCTGTACCATTACTTTTTGCTGCTGTTTGTACATACATCCATACATATGTGTAAACATGTAGTTTTTTAAATGTTACGGAACGCTTAAATAATTTTTTCTATTTACATATTGAGTCGAATAGTTTATCGTATTTAAGAAAAACGGCCATAAATATATTTCTGATAAAGCTTGTGTTGTAAATTAGCAACAAATATAAACGTTAATATGAAACACATTATTTCTTTTTGCGAAAAGCATGGTGTTAATATATATTATTATATAGCAATCTTTTTAGAATAGGATGAATTATTAATACTTTCGTCATTTATTTTCCTAAATATTGATTAAATTTAAAAATTTTTGGATTTAAGAGAGCGTAGAAAAGAAATTAAGAAGTCATAATTTTCCAATGTAGTCTAATTACTAAATATACGTATTGTTTGTTTGGGTAATGTTTGATCCAGCTTCATGCTTATATAACTGAATAATTAAGATTCTTCTACCTAATTGTTTATTTTAATTTTGGACAGGCAAGCATTTATTGTTATAGAGAAAATCAGTAATTTTTGTTAAAAGTTAACGTATACCTATTTGTTTTTGGTTGTGAAGAAATTAGGAATAACGTTGAATATTCCATTTTAAAAACATTTGCCCAATTACTAAATAAATGTGAGGAATTTTCTTTGTTTAAGAAAATATTTTAGTTTATGTCTTTTTATGAACAATGCGCATTTATATTTTCCCTGATAGAAAAATCACTAACATCACGAAATTTTAGCAAAACTTTCTTAAAATTTACATTTGTACATGATGCATGTATGTGTGTACATATAAAATAAAAAAAATTAAGTAAATAAAGTATGAACACAAAAGAAAAATTAAAATTGAAATTTTGCCAAAATATAGAAAACAATGTTTTTAGAATAAAAAATCAAAAAAACAGGGAAACAGGCATTTTTACGATTCAAGAGTGTTATTATTTACAATTTATACATATTTGTTATTTGGATTTTTTTTTCCATTTTCAGTCTTCCAAAAATAAATTTAAAATGAAAAGAAATTCATAATTTTCTTAATCGAAATATCGAATTTATTTTACTTTCAGGAAAAAGAAGAAAAATATGTGTATTTTAAGTGATATTTAAAAAAAATTAAAATATATGTTTGTAGGTATAGATATAATTTAATCAAAGCTGTGTAAAAGGAAAAGTCAAAGGCCATATAAACACCATGTTTTCCATAAGTGAACGACACAAATTTGACAAAAAAAAAAGCGGCGGAATATATTTACTAAAATTAAGTATATTTGACTACATTTTTAAAATCCGCAATAATTACTGGAATATCAAAAATAAAACAAAAACAGATATTTTAATTCGCATCTACATATACAACTGTACCACTACAAAATTTCTCTTTGTTGTAAGTTTTCTATAACAATTAATGACAATAGGATAAGTAGGTATTTAAAATGCATCAGTTTTGAAATTAAATCACCAATTATCAAATATAATGATACAATTTTTTAATCACTAAACATTGAAAGGAACCATAGAGGAATAGCTGGCAGGCTAGCTAATCCAACCAGATAAAAACTAGAAAGAGCAGTTTAATTTACCAAAAACAATAAGTACATTAATCGTATTAAGTTAAAAATAGACCTATATCTATCTTAGTACAAAAAAATTCAAACTAGATCTCGAAACAAATACGAGTTAATATAAAAGAAAGTAAAAATATATTGTTCATAAAAATAAGTGAGAACAAAATAATTGTGAAGTTGAAGAACAAAAATATTTAACTTTGGCTGGATTACCTTTTCTCACTGAAAATAAACAACTTTAAATTAAAAATTTTTATGCTAGATAGATAGATAGGTAGGTATATATGTGTCTATTACAAAAAAGTATCTGGTTACCGATTAACAAACAAAATTTTAAATCAATTTAAAATACTCTCACTTTTCACAGTATGCATAAGTTGAAATCAAAGAAAAATATAAGTAGAAAAAAAAATGCAAACTATGCTTGTATTAAATTTAACTTTTCTGGCAGTTCTTTTTGATATCAAAACGATTAAATATATTATATATGTATATATATGTACATTGGTGTAAGTATATAAGTGTGTGCTCATAAAACCAATATGTATTACATTATTCTTATATCATGCGTCACTTTGTTATTTTTTTTTTAATAAAATTCGGAAGCCTAAGGAAATTTTTATGTGCTCTAAAACTTTTTAAGAGTTTTCTTTTCTTGTATTCACTTTTTATATAAAAAATTTTCTATTTACCTTTGCATAGATATCGGCCAAAACTATAGGTGGCAAATGTTTTAAATATTTTACTTTTTCCAAAGATTTTACATCATAATTTAAATTAGACACATACGTGGACAAGCATTCCTTGTAAAGTGTTTGTGGATTCATTTTGAAATTTTATTTAATAGGTAAATAACATTTATTTTTAATTTATAATATCATCTATTTTATATACCACATCTAAAGTTTTATGTATGTATATAACTTGTATATTATTTAGTGTGTATTAATTTTCTAGTGACTATTTTTTGTTCTTTTTTTTTAAATTACCACAGTTGTATTTAACAAAAAAATTATTTTTAACTTATTATATTTCTAAATTTAGTTGAAAAAAATCAATAGTTAAAAATATTTTCACTTTTTCAATAACGAAAATTTATTTTAATGTACTTTTTATCGAAAATTTCCAAATTTTACAAATGACTATCCACCATAAAAAGCAATACAAAAAATTTATTTAAAATGAAATCAGTCAAAATGAATAAAGACTTCTTGCTTGCCTGAACAAGTCCCACAAGAATTGATGACATTTGAAAGACAAAATAATGAAAATAAAAAAAGAGAGGTAGGAAAGTAAAAAAAGAATTATATTCAGTAACAGCTGATTCAATTCAGCTCTTGCTTATAATACAATACATAGTGATTCAGCAAATTGACAACTAAAAAAGTGCTGTCGTTGTTAGTAGTTACTGAATTGAATTGAAAAATTTAATCTGTAAATCTGTCGGTAAAAATTTCAATAAACTTAAATGAGATATTAAAATGATATTAAAATATGACATTAAAATAATTAAAAGGATGTACAATTAAAAATAATTTTAATAATGATTCTTCAATGTTGTTAACATTAATAACAATTACTACTATTTTATTTAACTATTATATTTAATCTGAGAAATCTGATTTCAAAAACGAACCAGATAGAACTTAATTCTCTCATTTAATAATTTTTTTAAATTTAAATTGTTTTGAAATCTATACTGCGATCTCGATGAAATCTGACTACTTTTTTTCAACCAAGTAAAATTTGATCTGAGTTTTATGTGTAAAGTAAAAAATGAAAACACACTGAGTTATCCTATTAGAAAAAATAAGTTTTCCTTAAGTTTTTATTTTTTTTAGTTAAAATTGATGTGCCTTGTAACTGTGAACATATGTAGTTCATATTTAAATGTCACTTAATAAACGATTTCTTTGGTCGCTGTCATAATTTTTACAAAAAACTGAATGAAAGGGAAATTGAGTGGAAAACAAGAACTACCATTCGCTAAAGAAAAAATGAGCAAATGAGAGACAGCTGTGTCGTTTGCCTTTTTGTGAACGATGACACCGAATTTAGCCCTATAAAATTACAATGCACAATGGCAACTATTTTTAACAGTTAATTTTTTAATGATCTCCATTTTTTAATTACTAACTGTTTTATACACCTTCAGACTCCCACAGCACAAATCAATTATAACGGCATCACAAATTTGTACTCTCCTTTGTCATTTCTCTGATTTTTTCCCATGTTCCCTTTTTTCGCACTTGTATGTACGGATGTTAATTAAACTTCAGCTTTTTTTAAGATCTTTTATTTCTTAAAATATTACTTTTAGTTATTTTTATTTTTTTTTCAATTGTTTATGATAAATAACATAAGTAAAATTAAAAATTACAAATTCATGATATAAAAAAAATTCTTATGTATTTTATTAGAAACGTTACAAAAGTATTAATCAATTTTATAAATATTCAAATTTTAATTTTTTTTTAATAAAAATTTTAATTGAGATTTACATTTATTCGATATCGTAGTTAAATAAAAAACGATTATAACAAGTATTTCTTTTAATTATTGTTTTGATAAACATAATGTATAATAATTTTATGTAAAATCATTGAAAAATGAGTAATAGAATACTTTGCAAAAAATATATAATGAATATTATTTCAATAAATATTATGATACAAAATTAGTGAAGCAAAATTATTAATTTATTTAATGAATCTTTAATTATTTTTCATGAAATATTTTATTTTTTTTTCATTATATCATTAACATATAAACATAAAAACAATTATATAATATCAAAGTGATTTTATTTGATTAGTTAAAAAAATATATTTTAAATAGTAATTGAGTGATGTTTTTAATAAAAATATAAAAAGAAACACAAAAATAAATACAACAACTTTATAGCAGCCGTTTAAAATAAGTAGAATACAATTTTTTTTTCTTTTGATCAATTAAATTAAAAAAATTTATATATGAAATAAATATTTTTTAATTCAATATTTTAATTTAAACATAAAACCAACATTTGATTTTGAATTCGTCTTTGAAAATAAAAGTACATTTTTATTGATAATATTTTCCCATTTATTCAAATAAATATTATAAATTTTTAAATGGGATCCAAAATAGATCTAAGAGTAGAAAAAAATCTTAAAAAATAATTTTACGAAATTTTTAATAGTTCTCATCTCAATATTTATAAAATAACTGATTAGGCAAATTTTTTAATAATTATTTTTTTGTGTGTGTTTTAATATTTTGATAACTGAGTTTTGTGTGTTAAATATATTATTAAAACAAGATATAATATTATAATAATATTTAATAATTATATTAAAAAAGTACGTAAATAATAAAAACAATTTTATTTCTTTTTTCTGTTTAATTTTTTTAAAACAGAATTTAATTTAACAACAATATTCAATATGGAACAATGGTTTTATAGTATTTATGTGCAAATAACAATCACTATATTAAAAAAATTTGTATAAAAAATATTATTAATTTTTTTAAAATTTCTACTTTTAAAAGTTATGCTCTGATATACTGAAAAAATAGTGTTGTATAGAAAAATATTTTTATATTTATATTAAGATTGAAACCTTTTTACATTTAAAAGACGTGTGACATTAAGTTAAAAAAGGAAAATTTTAAAATGAAAATGCCTAAACTTTTCTTCACTGACAGTTACGAAAACGCCTATAAATACTTTGAACATAAGTGAAAACACATTTCCAATCTGGCCTTTTCATAACAACCATATCTTCGACATCTAGTAATGGCGCTATCCCGGCTTTTTCACTAAAAAAACAAAAAAAAAATATAACAATGTTTATCTTAGCTATATTTACATAATAATTGTTTTGTCTTCATAAATTTTATTGTAATTATAAAACTTACTCAGCCACTCGGAAAGCGAGTTCAAAATTTTGTCTGCGCATTTTTGGATTTAATTTTGAGTAATCGAAAGTATCAGGTAAGAAATGATGAATTAGAGCACAAAATGCCATACCATCGTTCCAACTTGTGCTAAAATTTGTTATTTGAACGTTCTACAATAAAAACAAAAATAATATTTTCAAAATGACATTAATTCCTTTTTAAATATATTACCTATACTCAGGTGCTTTAAAACTACATACATTATATAAAACTATATACAAATGCATATATAATACATAATTATAATAATATTTACAGAACACAATTATTAATATGAAATTATAATGTATGTATGTTTCAGTATTTAACAGTAACCATAAAAAATTACATCCCTTTAGAAATAACCTTAAGAAAACATTATGTCAAAGGCAAAAGAAAGCAAGAATTTACAAAAAATATAAAGAATATTTTAAACTTTAACCAGTTTTAGTTTTAAGCAATGATTCAAAAAAAATTGTACTTTGAAGAAAAAGCATTAGGAAGCTAGCAGTAATGAAAGAGACTTAAGTATAAGTATGTTTCATAATTGTTATTTAAATGTTATTTCTGAAACGCTTTGATTCTACTAAAATTAAAAATTTTCATTCTTAAATTGTTATACTTTTATTAATATTAACGACATATTATATAAAATAACATTTGCAAGAGCAAAAATAGTTCAACTTTTTTTTAATAACTATACAATTGAAATTCGATCTCTTTTGGTTTTGGCCAATTTTGTTTCGTCTTTTCAACCAAATTAGATAAAACAGTTCAATATGCCAAAACAAGCCGAATTTTATTTAAGTACATATATTATTTTATTCAACACAATTTAAAAACAATACTACATTTAAATAACAAATGGAAACACAAATTGATTTATGTTACCATTAAAGTATATTAGCGCCATTGTAAATAGCTTCTAAACTTTATTTTAAAATAAAGTTTAGAAGCTATTTAAAAACTTCTAAAATTTATATATATGCTATATGTAAACTATATAGTATATATATAAATTTTAGAAGTAGCTATATAAAAACTTCTAAAATTTTGAATTTTGGATAAGATAAACTAAAAATCCAAAAAAAAACTAAATCAAATTTGTCCTTTAGTGTTCATAGGTTCGCATCTACTTTTACATTATAAAAGAAAAAAATATAGGATAAAATCCAAATTGAAGGGAAAAGGTTAATTGTTGCATGTTTCAAAAAAAAAAATTGTTATTATTAAATAAAACCACTTTTGTTTCAATATTTTTTTGTCGTTTTTTTTTTGTAAAAAATCTGTACCTCGTATTCCTTGGTTTTTGATTGACACCACTGTAGAAGTTGTTCCTTTGCAGTGGCTGCACGTTGAGCCACTGCAGGGTCGGTAAATGCAAATATTGGTGCACCTCGATTAGCACCCCCAGGTGTATTTGGTGTTTTTTGTGGGGAGCTGTATACACACATACATATACATGTTATATGATTTATTTACGGTTTTATTATATTTGTTTTTATTTTTAAGTAAATTTTATTATAAAAAGAAGGCTCAACGAAACTTATTAAACTAGCTATTAAAAAATATTTTTTCTAATATTTTTTAGTTACTCTAATTTTGTCTAAATATTGTTAAATTAATGAAAAGCTTCTAAATTTTGAATAAATCTTTTGTATTTTTTTTTATAACTTATTGAAATCAAGGTAGGTTTTGTGAAATATGCATGTGTTTTTTATTTTCTGTTTTTCTTATAAAAACAATTTTGAATTGTAAATAAAGTTTGTTTTTTCTCAAAATTTTAATCGTTTCGGAATTTTCATGAAGCGGGGAAACATTGAATACTGAAGCTTTTTTCTTATGTCCAAATTAAATTTTCCTTATATATATTTTGATTTGATTCTAGCTTTTTTAAGAAGTTAAATTTCTTCATTTCTACATATTCCGTTTTATTCTAATTTTTAACTTAAATAAAATTTAAAATTTTTAAGAAACTTGAAAAATATTTTTTAGAAGGCAATTTAAACTCTGGGTCAATCCAGCAGTTGAACGTTGGAAATATTATCGTTTAGACAGTAAATCGATTGTTCTTACAAATCAATTCACACGCCTACCAATATGCAGATTTGATGTCAAATTGATTTATGTATTGCCTAATCAACAATTCTCAATATGGAATAATATAGAAGGCAAGTTAGTTTGCATTCCGGTAAATATACATAGGTTTAGGCTATGACATCAGTAGAGATGTTTCGTTTTCGAAATTCTGGTAATATGAATATTTCAAAAATTGAAAGTGATTTAAGGATTTAATATAAGATCTTGCCTTTAGCAAAAATTTGGATATCATAAATTATGATTTAAATTAAATTAATGACTGTGTTTTTTTATCTACTTTTTAGATAATTAGGTGTACTCAATAAAATTATTAACTTCCATTTCATTTACATTTAGTGTTTATAAAGACCCTTTTTCATTTAATTTATTCTCAAAAAAATATTTTTATATAAAATGACGGAGGTAAAAATTTGTTTCAACATGCTATATATGTAAGTGTTCCAGTTGTACAACAGTCAATTTTTATTTTGTCAAAAATGTCTTACTCGTATGTTGTTTTAGCTTCTTTAACAAAATTTGAACGCAATCTAATTACTTTTTAACTACTTAATTAAAAAAATAATAAGAAATTTATTTTTAATATAGTTTTAAGCTACTATTAACGTAAAAATAGTATTAAATATAGCATTAAAAGAGTAATTATAATTTTGAAAATTAATTCATACCGCTACATTTCGCCCATAGTAAATAAGTTTTGAATAAGAAAGCTTGTTAGATATTTTGTAAACTTATTTTTTATTTAATGTTACAAAACAGAAAATTTTTTTTGTAAAGAGTATTAAAAGAAAATGTGATAAAATGTACCTGTTTCTTTACTTCTTAACAATGCTTAATTTTATAATGAAGAAAAGAACCAAATTTAATGTTTTAAAATTTTATTTATTTTTAAATGGCATCTACATACTTAACAGGAGTTACTATACAGCAATAGTGTTAGTGTTTTATATTAATCGAATAGAATATTCTATGAACCGTTTCTGTAATAGTAACACTTAATTTTTGAGTATTTAATTAAAAATTTAAATCAAGTTTTAAAATTCAACTTTTATTAGCTTTAGTTTTACGAACTAAAAACTTTTGGAACAGCCATAATTTACATATATTTAAAATTGAAATACATGCAAAGTAATGAATTGAGAAATTTTTTTTTATAAACAAGTGTGTACGCCAAATATGAAAAAAACATAATAAAATTTCCTCACGATCAAAATAAATGAAGCAAATATTCTTCAGTCTTATAATTTTGAAATAATGTAACTTATTATTCCAGCTATGTAAATGAAGGGATTGACTTTTCGAATGATTAACATTGAAAAATTTTCAAGAATTATTTTAATAATGATATTCGTTCTACAATAGTTCCATACAGTTTGGACAAAATGGAAAAATACATAAGTTTGAAATTTAAATGATTAAGAAGAGAAAACATGAAGAGTTTCTAGTTATTTATATATGTATGTAAAATAAAAGTATAGTTTTATAAAACACGAGTATCTACTCATAATAGTATTATCTGTGAGATGATCATAAAATTTTTATATGCATGTTGTCAATTTTATTAATAAAATAAGGAAACTTACTTTGGTGATTGTATTGAATTTTGTTTGTCAAGTTGTTTAAATTTTGCAAATGGTGAAACCGCTTTTGGTGCGGCACTTGATCCAGTGATAGTTCTTGTTGTCACTAAAATTATTTTGTAATTAATATAAAAATCAAAAAATTAGAATGATGTGTATTCGTTGTTAATACAAAAAAAACCTTTAAATGTGTTTACGTATGTAAAATAAAATTTTTGATGTAATTATTCATAAATAAATATCGAATGAATCGATACTACAGAAATTTTGAAGTTTATATGATATAATTTGATAAAAGATATTATATAAGGTTTTCGATTCTTTTTATACTACCTTTAGTTGTAGTTGTTACGACAGCACCATCTTTTTCTTCTGTTTTGGTTGTTTCAGTAAAGTTCGATTCTAAAACGAGATTATAGTAAAAATATTAATTTTTTATTGAAACAGTTAGAAATTTCATTTTGTAAATTTAATACACGAAACTCTCTTATTTGTATTTATAATATTTTACAAAATACAATTATTTATAGCTATTATGTACAAAATATTTACAAATAATTAATGAGAATGTCAAAAGACTTTTAAAAAAGTTACATAAATAAGTACAGTTTATATTTTTGATAAAAAAAATTGAAAAAACATAAACCTCGTAGTTAATAATTCTATAGCCTACAACACTGAAAAACAAAGAAAATTATAGTACATTAGAATAAAACTTTAAAGTATTTATTTATAAATATCCAGCTAAAATATTTTAAAAGCATTTTGTTTTTAGTACACAGTAAATTGTTGAAGTTGGATAAAGTTAATAATGGGAAAGATACCTAAAAGCACGGAATAAGTACATTTTCACTACAATAATTAAATACTTTTATAGATTAAAAATAATGTTAAAATATCAGTTTTATATTTTGTTCTAAATGGGTCAAAGAAAAGGGACATTATGGTTTTATTTTAAGTTTTTATTTGCGGCAGCTGAGTTATTAAGAAATCCAAATAAGCATTTTTAAGAGCACAAACAAGTCAAGCAGTTTAAAAGGCTTAATACAAAACAAGACAAAACAAGAAACTTTTACAAATTTTTTCCTTAAAATCATTAGGTGTTAAAAAATATCTTCCATGTCTCCAATAAACATTCATGTTTTAAGTTATTAAATATGACGTTTGAAATACTTCTTATATATTAAAGTTAACTCATGTTACTAAAATCTCAAACAAAAGTTTGTAGGTTCGAAATTAAAATTTAAGTGAAGAAAGAAAATGAATTTGAAATTATTTAAACAAATATTCACATTAATTTTTAAAGTAATTTTGCTTCCTTGGTTTTGCTTCCTTCCATATTACCATTGGTAGCGTTTAGATTTTGTAGATTATGATTTGTATTGATTTTAAATTTACTTGAAGAGGAAAATAATCTCTGAATCAAAGAAAATTTTATTTTGAGCAAATCATTTAGGAAAAAAATTGTTTTTCTGTTTCGTGAGAACAGTTAAATTAATAAAGCAATTTAATTATTTTAAAAAACATATTTTATATACATACAAATAAAAAAAGAACAATTTCATTAAAAACAGATTCAACAATCAAAAACACATTAAATTCCCTAATTACGAGGGCACACCATAAAATTTTATTGAGAAAAAACAAAGAAAAACGAAAACAACACGAATAAAAAATTTATAAAAAAGGAGAGCTTACAAATTCGAAAAATTTCAAAAGTTCCAATTATCAACTCACAATTTGTTTTTATATTTTGTTATTTGGAAGTTGCCGTTGATTTTGTGAATTATTTTCTTGTTGTGCACATGAAGATGAGTAATATTTCAAATTTCATAAATATTTTTGAGTATTACGTAAGTTGATTTTTGTTTTTGTAACTCTCATTGTAGAATTTCGATAAATTTTAATTGAATTTTCCTCAAATTTATAAAAGGTTGTCAAATGTTTTTTGGATTTTATTTTGCTTACAATTTCGAATCGAATTACGTTTACAAATTTAATAAAAGAAGAATTTAGAAATTTTTTGATTTTTATAATTAACGTATGTTGTGTGAAAGGTGCGTACTGAGAACGGAAAAATGATTTGGTGAGAAGATGTATGTCTAAGTTTATTTTTAATTTTCCAGCTGCTTTTAATTTTTTCACATCACATTTCATGTTGTTGCTGCAATTACTTTTGCAGGTACGAAAGTCATTAAATTTTTTAACTATTTGATAATTTTTAAACACAACCAAGCAAAAACATTTTTATAATTTTTTTTTGTAAGTAATTTTTAAAGCAACCATATATGTCCCTTTGTTGTGATATTTTACAAAATTTTGTTTAATATTTAATTTTATAGAGTTTATGATATTTCTTAAAAACTAATTTACATTAAATTAATTTTTTTTAAATTTATTTTTAAAAGTTTTACAATTGTAGTTAAAAAAAAATGGTTATTAAAATAATTTTAAAGTTTAACTTCAAATATAATTACACATTTTTAAAGATATTATAATTATTATAACAAGTAAAATATCTATATGGTTGTCTCTTAATAATTAAAATTAATTGAATTGAATTTCCCACTTGAGAATTATAAAGTTTTAATTTAGAAATACAATTTTTAAAAATCTTGTGAGTTTCTTTTGTTATACGTTTAGGCATGGTAATTCGTTTTCTTTTTTTTCAAAATAAAACAAACAAAATAGTTTTTCGATCAAGATCAGGCTCGATCCCATGCCGTTTGAGTATTTTCGGACAAACAAACAAATAAACAACGATGAGACAATATTTATAATTTCGAGCAAACCTTTTAGGTCTCTCATTTAATGTTTAACTGGAATGAATGAAAATAATTCTCGATTTCGAGTATTTTATTTCTATATGACAGGTGATAATTTCAGTTTTTTTATAAACGTTTCTACGATCCTAAGAGAATTTGTTCAAAAGCATCTTCAACATTACTTTCGTCTAATAAATTTAATTTATCTATGTGTGGCATTGTTTGACTGCGTACTAAACCAGTTGATGGCATTTGTTTGCCAATTGATGTTTTATCAACAGTACGTGTGCGATTAATTGAAGATTTTTTAACAAATGTACTTGACGTCATTGATGAAGATAATGACATTTTTTCATTGTCTGTTATATTTGTTTGTGATGAATTACGTGATAATGAATTAGGAGATTTATTACCAGAGAAGTATGCAGCGACAATATTCTGTTTTTCCGATACTTCATCACGATTTATACTACCTTCATACATTTTCGGTACAGCTAAAGTGTGACCTGACTTTGTACGACGTAATTGATTACCAACACCACTTTCACCGAATTTCGGTGATGGTGGTTTGGTTTGGTGTTGCAGCATACATATTTGATGCCATGAATCTGATTTACTTAGATTATTTGTTTTTACACTTGCTATATTTTTATTAAACAGTTGATCACTTGCACTTTCACTAACCCGTCGAGACATATTAGTAAATTGAGCTACATTATTGAAAACTATATTTCTTGGTATAATTTCCTCAATATTTTCTTCTTGCTCTGCAGCAGGTGTAGCTGGCGTTTCAATTATCTCTGGTTGACTTTGTTGTTTCTGAAGTTTTGCTAAAACACTTGGTTCAGACATTTTTCTTCCAGTTGATGTAGTAGTAGATGACATCTTTGACGCATTAGATGCAGATTCGCATTTTGTTATAGGTGTTTTATAGGCATTCGGTGTATAAAGATGTCTTTGCGGTGGGCCAAATTTTTTCAATATGGGTATGTCATCTTTAGGAAGGGAAGATTTAACAATATCCGGTGTGTCAGCTGGTTGAGACGATTTATATTCAACTTTTTCAACAACCTGTTGATTTTTTTGAGAAACTATTTTTGTAAAGTTTCCTTTGTTTTCCTCTTGTACTTCAGTTATTAATTTCTTGTTAGTCTGATAGATTTCTTGTTGCGTTGCAATTTTCTTTTGTGCCTTTTGTTTAATAATCTCAGTATTAGATGAAATTTTCTTCTGAGACAGAATAATTTGATTTTGTTGTTCATCAACTGTTGGTTCTTCAAGAGAACGTTGGCGCGCTTTCAAAGCTTGCTGTTTGGTAGTTTGTTGGCTAGAGTGAATTTCATGTTTTTGATTTTCATTAAATGTTTCAATTTTTGAAGATTTTGAAACTGACTGTGATTTTTCAGCAAAGTTTGAAACATCTGAATAATTTTTAATTGGTTTCAAATCTGAATATCCGAATTTAGGTGGTACAGTGGATTTCGCGTTTAAAACTGGAGTCGTTGGTTCCACTTTAGGGGCCGATTTCTTGCGGGCTGGTGGAGTAGGTTTATATTGTTGGAAGTTTTGTTGCTCTTGTTTCGGATAGGCTTCCTGAATTTGACGATGTTGTTCTAAGTTCTTTTGTATGTCTGAGTACTGATACAGATTTCCGTTGGCGGTATTATTTAAAGCACTTGGTTGATATTGATGATTGCCAGATTGCAATTTTTGTTGGTTTGAGTTCATATTTTTTAATTGTTGCTGTTTTTGTAGTTCAATTTTGTGCTGTTCTACTATTTGTTGTTGTTCGTATTCTTTTTGAATTTGTTGTTGGTGCAAAAGTCTCTTGTGCTCTTCGTATTCTTGTTGTAATCTCTGTTGCTCTAGCATTTTTTTATGCTCTTCATATTCTTTTTGCAATCTTTGTTGTTCCATCAATTTTTTATGCTCTTCATATTCTTTTTGTAATCTTTGTTGTTCTAAAATTTTTTTATGCTTTTCGTACTCTTTTTGCAGTCTTTCTTGTTCTAACTTCTGTTTATGCTCTTCATATTGATGTTGCTCTAATTTTTGTAACTGTTCTTGATATTCTTTTTGCTTTTTCTCTTGAGACAAATTTTGTTGCAATTGTTGTTGATATTGCAAAGTTTGTTGATAATCTGTTTCTGCTGAATTGTAAATTAAATTAGATTGAGGTGGAACATAAACTGGATTTTGTTGATAATGAGAAGGTGTCTGCGACGCAAACGGTTGTCCTAAATATTCAGGAGCACGATTGGTTTCCACTTTGGTTAGTTCTGGGAAAACTGGTTCTACTTGAGGTGCTTGGTAGGATCTACCGTCGGGAGACAGACATACTTCTGGTGTTGGTATTTGCTTTTGTGGTAGAATTTGTTTTTGACCCTTGTTTCTATCTTCAGCTTTAATATTTTTCATTGTAGAAAGTAAACTTTTTGCCACTGCAGATTTTTTACCATTATCACCAATCCTCTGTGTTTTATTTGCTGATACTGTTACAGCTTGCTGACTTACGGGTCCAGTCATTACTTTACTTTCTACTTTGTATTCAGTTAAAATTTCGGAATCAACTTCGTCGTCAGTTGTTATATCATGATGTGGATAACTAATTGGGCTGGCCATACTAGTAGTTGGGCTTGGATAATCAAAAATTTTTAGAGGGTATTTATGGCTTTCTGAAATTGTGTTCTGTGGATCATAAGTAGAACAAGTGTTTGTGAGAATTAATGGTTTATGATTCTCTGAAATAGTATTTTGCGGATCAAAAGTTGGACAAGAGCTCGTTAATACCAACGGTTGAGCATTAGGGTTGGTTAGAGAGTCTTCGCGGTTCCTAAACTTTGGAGTATATTCCTGTATTTCGTTATGAACTGGTACTGAAACTGGCATAATGCCGTAGTCTTGATCAGTTATTGGTGGATTATATTCTAAAGCAGGTTGTGATTTATGCAACTTCTGCGCATTCTGATATTGGATCAGTGGTTCTGGTTTTTGATTGGCTTGGTTATCATATTCGTAACTGTGGGAATTGTTATGTATATGAGGTGTACTTGCATAATATGTTGGTTGGGCATTATAAGAACTTTTAATATATGGATCATTTGCATCCGGTAAGGACGGTCTTTTCATATCAGTTAAATTAGTTCCATAATCCTTTTTTCTTTGATCAAATGCATTATCCTGATGATGTAAAGATGTTTGTCGGTGTAAATTACTTGGAGGTGGCGATTTTTTGTCATATTTCTCCGCCTTGCTGCGAATACGATTTTCCGTGCGATTTTTGCTTACCCAGGGTAGAGCTGAGGTCATTGGAGAAGTTGGAGTGGATCGTTTAACTCCTGCCCAATTATGCACTGGTGATGTTATAAAATGATGCGGCGAGTTTGGTGCTGAATTTTTACCTACAAGAGAAATTTTTTTGTTGGTTGATTGTTGTTGTGATTGCTGTGTCAGTATCTGTTGTGATTGATCATGTTCAAAGCGTTGTTCAGGATATGAACGAATGGCATTTGAAGATGGTTGATGATTTATATATGGATCTGAGTGAAAACGTGAATCGGTATGAATTGGTTTGAATTGTTCTTGGCTTGGCTGAAATATTTGCTGAGGTGGATCAACTGGTTTAAATACTGACTGAGAAGCATGTGAAAATTTATTTAATGGAATTGGTTTTGCTATATGTATTGCTGATGGCCGTTGAAGTGAAGGTTGTTGTTGAACTGGAGATTGTATGGGTGGTTTATGGATTGACATCTGCTGAGTTGGCGACTGAATTGGTGGTCTATGAAACGATTGCTGTTGAATCGGTGACTGTATAGGAGGCTTGTGAGTCGGCTGTGTTGAGTATTGTTGGATAGGTGATTGCATTGGTCGCCTATTACTCAAGCTTTGCGGCTGATGATGTTGCACAGGTGATGGAATGGGAGGTCTATTGAATGACTGCTGAATAGGTGCTTGTGTTGTAGGTTGCTGTTGAGAAACATGAGGCGGAACACAATATGAGTCAATGTTTTGATGCTCTTTTGTTTTAAAAGCAGAAGGTAATACATCACTGTTAAATGTTTTGTCCGACCAAGACTGTTTAGTTATTTTATCACTCGTGAAAGATGCACGTGGTGCATTTAATTGAATTTCATTTTTCTTCCAAAAATTTTTAGCGCTAGATATGGGTCCAGCTGGAGGTTTCCCTCTGAAGGAATTTTCAAAAGATTTTGCTTCAAATGCTTGTTTTATATTGCCGAATTTACTAGTCCAGTTGCTGACCGTTCTATTTGGATTATTCCAGGCTAATCCAGGCGCCGGTCCCTGCTTTTGTATAAATGCTAAAAATTTCATATCGTTTTCTGTTTTTGGTTCAAAAGCTTGAACAAATGATTTTGGTTTATTTACGCTAACTTGTACAGTACCTCTTAACCCTATTGATTTTGTTGAGTTAACACCATAATCTTCAGCTTCAGAATCAGATTCCATATCATTTATGTATTTCATTGGTTTCGGAATATCGATTGTGTTTGCCCGCTTCATCGCGAGTTTTTTATTAGAAAATCTATTCAAAGGAATATTACTGGGTTCAAAGTTTTCTGTTTTGTTAGTTTGATGAAAACTTCTATTCTGTGACTCGCTATAATCATGTGACGTTTCAGCATTGTGATACCCATTTGATATGTTTGATTCGGGTTGATAGTAGTTTTGTTGTTGTTGATCTTGAAGACCGGTTTGATATTGCGACCGCTGCTGCTGCTGTTGTTGTTGTAGCATTTGTTGCCCAACTGTAGATGAATAAGATTCCGATAAAGGACGTTTAGAATTTTGAACTAAATTTGTCGATGTTTGATCATAGTCTGCACTTTGTCGTTTGATAGGTTCTATTTGCGATTTCTTATCTCTTCGTTGAACTGGTGGTTGTTGTGATTGAACTACGGGGGTTACAATTTTAACTGAATTACTTTGTTGAGCCGCATTGCTGGGGACAAACTGGTTAGGACGATATAACGTTGTTGGAACCGTATCCCTAGTATTGGGTGTAACAAGTTGATCAGTTACTCCACTCACTTCCTTTTGATATGCTGTATTTTGTTCTTGTGAAGGCTGATTTTCGGATGATGATTGAGCAGAGGTACCTTCTGTCGTTACATTATGAGATAAATTCTGAATCAATATCATTTCCTCCATATAACGGCGTGCATCTGCTAATTCTTCTCTACTTACACCAACTGTGTGTCTATTCGCTCTACTTCGTCTTTTAGCAAAACGTTGACGATTCGACCCCCTGCAATTTTCACCTTCTGGTGAGGATGTTTCAACATTATTGGTGTTTATGCTGCTGCTAATATTTGCTAAATGGTTGGGGGCCGGTGTAGGTTCTTTAATTTTATCTGGAGAGGTCAAACCAGTCTGTAGGCGGCTAACAAGTGTTAAAAGAGCATTACGCCTCTTTAAATCAAGTTGAATGTCACTTGTGCCCTCTTTTAAAGATTTTTCTAAACGGGTAAGAGCCGCTGTAACTTCTGGTATTAAACCTGTATCATTTTTTATTGACTGCATTGAATCACGTAATCCGGCAGCAAGTAATTTTAAATCTTCCCCACTTTCTGTGCCCGAATCTTCAACATGGTTATTATTCGTAGAAATGCTATTATTTACATTATAATTTTTATTATTCATATTATTAGGATAATTATTACTATTAAGTGTATGTGTTTTTAAGGTGTTACTAGTTTTATTACTGTTTGATTTAGAATGACTAATGTTACTATTTTTAAGATTAGACATATTTGATTTTCTACTATGTGCTTGTTCCTTTTCAGGTGATGAAAAATGTAGTAAACCTTGCAACAAAGGTAACAAATCTTCTCCTTTCTCTTCGACGTCGTCTTCTTCTTGTTCTTCCTCTTCCTCTTTTTCTACCTCTTCCTCTTCTTCCTCTACGTCTTCCTCTTCTTTTTCTATTTCTTCGTTTTTATGTTGTTGTTTTTCTTCTTCCTTTTCCTTTTTCTTTTGTTTATCACTTGTACTTTTTATTTTGTTACTCTTATCGTTGTTATCACTAACTACACGTTCAACAATTATATTGTCTGTTTCTGTAATATATTTTTTATTTTTACCTTGTTTATTATCAGTGTCCTTTGTTGTTTTTGTTTCAGCTGTTATTTTAGTTGGTGTTGCTTCTTTTGTGAGAGTTTCTTTTGTTGAAGTTGTAGTCGTTGTTTTAGTGGGTGTTACACTTGTTCGTAATGGTTCAGTTTTAATAACAGTTTTAACAATTTCGGTTTTTGGTTTAGTTTTTTCAACAAATTTAGTTGTTGTTACAACTGTTTCAGTTTTATTATTACCGCAACCAACTTTTTTTGTTGTGGTCGTCGTTACTGATTTAATATTTTTATTTTTATCGGTGTCATCTTCATCACCATTATCATTGTCACTGCCATCAGTATCTGTCACTTCAATTTCTTCAATTATTTCTTCGTAGACACTGCTGTCATCATCAGAATCATTATTTTCAACTTCTACAATTCCAGTAGTTTTTCTTGAGTTTTGATGCTGTAATTGTGGTGGTTTTTTTGTTGCTTGCGAATTTTCCAGCTCAGCTTTTACACTGGCTACAATATCAGCACAAGCTAAAAATTACCAATTTTTGACACATTTCAATTTTGAAAGATTTAATGAAAATTTAGTTTTTGAAACAAATCAAAAATTCAAAAAAAAATATGAAAACGAAAAAACTAAAAAATGATAAAAACGAAAGAAAAAAAATTGTTTTTTTTTGTTGCTGAACATTCCAAATTTGAATAACGTTTAATTTTTTTGCTAATTTTGTTGCTTAATGAATGATGCTTCAATATTAATAATGAGATGCATTCGGGACAGGTTTTGTTTTACAATTTCTTGCTATTTTGTTGCATGTTTTTAGAGGGGCGGGAGGTTTCATGAATATGATATTTTTATCAATAATATTATTTTTGTTACTTTTGGTACATTGTTCCAATTTTGATGCTTTTGTGTTATATTTTATGTTTTTATTTCAAATAAAATAACAAAAAACATGGAAGTGGTGACGAACACAATATTATCGTTTACACAAATTCAAAGTTAGAAATAATTTTGTTTTACAAAAATCAAAAGCGAAGAAAAAATTTAATAATACCCGAATTATTAAGTACGCAAAACGCAAAACTTAATCGGAAAGCCGAATTGAATGTTAAAAAAAATTGAAAGGATGTTTTTTCTAAGGTTTGAATTTTTAGTTATTCTCATAAATCTATAGGGTGACTGCATAAAATTCTAACCTACATCAAAATTATTTTTCATTAATAATTTAGATTCAAAAACGTTGCCACAGAGTAATTTGAGGTAAATAGCTATAAAATTTGCTGTGCTTATTTATCTACATTATAACATATTCCACTTGGATTCGCGAATTGTAGCCTCTTTAAGTTATCATTATCTATACACGGTGTTTCGCTTAAGGTGGCAAATAATTTCAGGGATGATTCTTTGATCAATTTGTATGAAATTTGCATTTTTCGCATTTTTTTAAAAACATTTAACACGTTTACTGGTAAAACTATGAGAAATAGAGGGAAATGTTTTTGAGGTTACTTTTTAGATCTCATTGTAGCTCATCAAAAAAAGAAAACAAAACATAAAAACGCAAAAATTATGATTTATATACTTTGACGAGTTTTATCTCGAAAACTATGGCTCAAATAAAATTGAGCTGATATTGAGCAATCAATCTTCTGTAAAACAAGCCTCCAGCATTTACTCTATGATGCATCGCTTCGAAGTTTTTTTTCAACTCGAAAACGAGCATACCTGTTGGAAACGCTTTTTGCTGGAAATTAATCAAAGAATCATCCTTGAAGTTATTTGTCAGCTTATACGAAAAGTCCTGTATATCGATACGATTTTAACTTCTCACGTCATATTAATTACTTCATAAAAACCGTGTTGAAATTTAGTTTGTTTGTATACATATTGTGAAATTTTCCATTCCATTACCAAAAGACTAATTGAATTAGCTTTAAAATTCTTTTGAAATTTAAACTTTATTTAAAAAAAATCAAAAGGATTTGCCGAAATTTTTTCTATGAATTCATATACTCGTAAGGATGACTTTAAAGACATTATTTTATAGACAAAGAAAGAATTCAATTTTGATTAAAGAACATTATGATTTACAGAAATGCATGTATGTATATACAAACGTAACTTATTGTAAAATAACAATAAACAATTACTTATATAACATTTATAAAACTTCACATTCAAATATTATTTTCTTACTTTTTTAATATGAAAAATTTTCTAATTTGTTTTTTTAACCTGTAGTTGCGAAGACCCACCCTTTATATCCACAATTCAAGCAATTTATTTTACATAATATTATTATATCCAATATAATTATTTATTAAAATATTTTAGACTTATATTTGCCCTGGTAAATGAATACAAAAAAAATTAAAGTAAAAAAATATTTGTTAATTAAATAATCGAAAAACCATAGAAAAAGACGTAAACTATACAATATTTCAAAAAAAAAAAACAAAAGTCAAAAAATTGTAAATAAAAAAATTTATCTAAATTATAATTATTAAAAATTATAAGTTAGAAACGTGTATTTTGTGTATTTGAGTAAAAATAATATAAAAAGCAAGAATTCACCACCACCATATTTATCATTGTTGTCCGTTATAAATAAAATTAATTTGTTATTATTAAGGTTTTAATTAATTAATTTTTAATAAGTTTTTAATATTTTTATTAAGTTTTGACCATATTCACATCAATATTTTTTTAATTCCTTGTCTTAGGAAAAAGCAAAAGTAATTTTTTACTACGTTTTTATTAACTTCATTTCTTGTTTGTAGGATATATACGAGTATATAAACTAAATATTTTAGAAATTTTTTAACTTTAATAGCCCAGCTCTCAGATGACGTACCGACCAGGCGTGTTGGAAAGGTCTCGATGACAGCTTCAATCTTATTGGCTTAAAATAGCTTTCACGGCCCCGAATAGCCACTTCCAACCACTTTTCTGCCAAACCAAGCTAAAAGCTTTCAAATTAGGGACTGCACCCTAGCTAAAAACTGAAGATTTTGGGTCCTAGACCCTAGAAAAATCTTAAAACTAAAAACGTGATGTGTCCATAATAAGAAAATGGCGTAGGAAACTTAAGTACTATATATTTAGTTGAAATAAAACATACTTTCCATCACGCACCACGTTTTCAGCTTTAAAATATTTAATTTTTATGATAAGAAAAAATATTTGTATGGTTTAAGTAACTTATGTAAATAATCTTATCTAGTCTAGGCTAGAAAAAAATTATTTTCTTCTCACCAGAAAAACGTAGTTTTTTACAATATTTTTTCCCTGTATTATAAAAATTCAATTTTGATTTTAAATTAGTGTCTTCTACTACAGTACTATACTGAAGAAATTTAATAATATCAAAACGTTACTGCATATTTGAACGAATGCCGGTGTTTAATTTTAGCAGTTTCCTAACGAACAGTGATTGAAAACAAGTGAACTTCGAAATTTCAAAATTTGATGTGAACATTTTTGTAACTTTTGTTAATTTGATTTGCTTTTAATTTAATTTTTATTAATTGATTATTCGTCATGTTTTTCTTACAATAATTAATTTTCAGCATATTTAAGTCTTAAATTTTGTATTTAAATTAAAAATTTTAATTTAATAACTGTTATTGTTTTTTTCAAATATTTTTATATTTTTTAAAAGAATTTTATTCTATAATTCAAAATTACCTTCGCGTTCCGCCATTAGTTGCTTAATACGTGCACGGATTTTGCGACGTTCTTCGTAACTTGTAGATTGCTCAAGCTTTTAAAAAAAAAATTAATTTTATTAATTTATTTATTTTTTTAATTTTTAAAAGCTCAATTTTTTGTCATATAAATTGAAAACTCTAATGGGAGTATTGATCTGGTTGGCACAGTGCTAAATACTTGTTTCTGTTTTTGTTTAATTTGTTTATTGAAATTTTTAGCTTACCAACTCTTTTAAATATTCTTCGTCCCAAACCTCCTCGATATCAGAAGTTCCAAAAGAAACTGGTGTTGAGGAGTTACCTTCGGATTTGACTGTTTTCGTAACACGTGTTGTCTTCACCTGAAACAAAGAAGGAAAATTAAATTCAAAAGAGCAAATTAAAAGAAATTTCGTCTTCGAAAGTAAGAATTAAATCAGGTATTTGCAATATTTACGGGAAAAAGATTGAGCCGGACTTCTTCAGTGTATTTTTTTTTATTTTTAACTAATTAATAAAATCGTCGAAAGTGATCAGAATTATGTATTTTCAATTTCATGTACACATTAACAATGTATAAGTGTGTGTACTCCATATGACTAGAAACTCAAAAGGTGAAAAATATAACGTTACCTTTTTCGAAATCTAGCCAAACTTAATCATACTTTTTATAAATTTACGGTTCTGTATTAAAATTGCTTAGTATGAATCCGAAAATCGTTGAACAGTTCTATATGATCACATTATAAAACGTTTTCAATTGATTTCAACGAAAATTCAAGAAAATTTTTAATATTCTTTTTCTACAATTTAACAAAAAAAAAAGATTTCTTAAATAAAATCAAACACAAGAACAAGAACATGAAAAGAAATTGAGTATTTAAAATATTTTTCAATTGCAATTATAAAGAGTCGCAATTTTAATTTAATTAGAAAATTAATTAATCAAAAATATAAAATAAAAGAATTTAATAAAAAAAAAAACAACACACAACAAAAAAAAACCCCAAAATTGTAGAAACATCCAAAAAGTTTTACTACTCGTATTGAAGTGTGAACACAATTTTAGCAAACATGTTGAGTTGAATGTGCATTCGTTTGTATTTATGTATGTTGTGTGCGTATAAGTACATAGAAAAATACGAGTACGCCGTTTTTCTTAAAATGCAAACGAACACAATTAAAACCATTGAACTTGTAATTGGCAAGGTTTTTTTAGAGTTATTTTTAATTTAGTGTACGAATTTTGTAATTTTACTTTGAAAGTTGATATCAAATTTGGCCGTAAACATATTACAATAGTTTTTTAACACTATAAAACTGTGTTACCGCGATTCAATTTTATAAAATTTTTTTAATATTAAAGGGGTTTTCAGATGAGAAACTTAGTAATAATATTCTGGAGACGATCAACAGTTAACATTTGCGTTATTCAAAAATCATTATCATATTTTTAAGTTCAAAATTTAATAGTAAATACATCGACGATATTAGAGCATTGCAATACTTTATAATATACACGAAAATACCGTAATTCTGCCTTTAGGTTAGTTATAGCAGGTGAAAGCGATCATCTCTTTATATATACACCACACAATTCGTCAATAGGCATGATTTAGCCACGTGGGTCTGTTGTTGAAGCGCACATACGACCACAGAAAGGGCAACTTAGTTTTACGGGTACGATATGAGGGCTTATTAAAATTGAAACGAATGTGTTACATCAATGAAAATACCCCCAAATGGTTTTTACATTTTTTTAAACTTTACAAAATAGTGTTTGTTAACTAATTGTAGTGTTTATTGATGCATGTTATTAAAAAATTTTCGAGAAACTCTATTTTATGGCAGATAAATAATAAGTAAATAGATTTCGATAATTTGTAGTAACACCGTTGTATATTTTTCAAACAGTGTGTACGTATATTGAAATTCTGGCAAGGGTACGAACTTTGAGCTTTTTTATTTTATTTACCTTTTTTTTATATTTTGGCTTTGTAATTCTTTGTATATTTCATTTATTTTTGGCGAGAAAAAATATAGGAAGACGTCAATGTTTTGATTTATTTTTAGTTTATTTTACCTGTATTTAAAAATTAAATTTTCCACTTAAATTTCTTAAAAGTTTGTTTATTTTTTCGTTTTAATAACAATATTTTTATTGCCCTTTTAAGGTATTAATTGATAAAATTTCAAACAATTCGAAAATATTTTTGACTAATTCTTAGGTAATTTTAAATTAGAGCTTCATAAAACTTTACGACGTGCTTGAATGCAGAACTCATGTGTGTTTTTTGTAATATGAAGTGAAAATTTTAAGGCATAAATTTCAATTTACATTTTGCGTTGTATTCAAAATGTGGAAAATGCTTTTTTGTTTTATTCATATTAACTAGTTTTTGACTGTATTTAGAGTAACTGTCGACAGATTTGAGTTTGTTTTGGATAAGAATTATAATTGAAAAAACAAAATGAAACCTCTTGTAATCGCCAGAATTTTTGGAACATATCTTTCTCAAGAATCAGTCATTTTTCAGCAGAATCCATTATGTCTGTGTTGACTGTATTTGAAAATCAAATTCATAATTAGAATGAGTAATAAATAGTTAATAGTAATCAAGTATATTAGTCTTGATTCTAAACTTGCCTCTAGCTTCATCTATCTTGTGTTTAATAAAATATTTAAAAGTTTCATTGTGACTCAATTTTTCTTTATTTAAAATTTCAATTAAATGTAAAATTATTTTTTTACCAAATTTTAAATAGTTTGCAACTAAAAGTTCGTGTCAATTTTAAAAATGACAAATTTGTAAAATATTTTAATCGAAAGAATCGAAACTCTTTTTGTGAAATACTTACAAAATCAATCAAATTACATACATAATAACAAATATTTCTGTAAGTAGCACCAGTACTGAAAATTGCATGCTATAAAATATTTATACATTTGTATATACATATGTTCACTCATATATGTAAATAAAGAGTTGAATTTTGTTTTTTCCTTTTATTTTGTCAAGTTCAAGTGTAAATTTTAATTAATGAATAATATAAAATAAAATAAAATAAATAATGGCAATGATTAATTGTATATAATGTTAAAAATAAATAGAAAAAAGAAACAAAAAAAATCAAGTTCAATTGAATTCAATTTGCAATTAAATAAAAATTTTAAATGTCCTTTTTGTTGATCTTCATTTAAAAACAAAATTTTACGAGGGAAATTTAATTTCTCTCTTTTTTCCTGTTATTCTCTTTTTATTTCAATTTTTTTTTACTCAAACTTTCATATGCAGAGAAAGAAAGAAAATCTTGATTAAATAAAGAGAATAGAATTGAAAAATCATAAAAACTTCAAATTAATTTCACAAAAGAGAAAATTAATGCTCCTCTAAAAGATTTCTTCTTTTATTAAATTTTAAAGAGTTGAAATGTAATGAGAGAAATCTCTTAAATACCCAATGTTTCAAAATATACGTTCATTATACAAATGCAAATGGAAATGTAGTAATATTGAGATCTTAAGAAACATTGAAAAAGTTTTAGAAAATTAAATTAGACCGGCAAAAAGAATTTTGACTTTGTTACATAATTTTTTAAATATTTTACGCTTAACCGTACTTACCACTCATTACTACTGATTATCTTTAGTATTGTGCTTTAATTCTATAAATTCGATTGTGTAAACATGCTTATAAATGGTAAATTGATAATTTCTTAAAACTTTTGTTAATTTTATCTTGTTTATCAACAAATTTAATTCAAAATAATATTGAGACTAAGTTGATGAAGTATGTAATATTGTACGTTAATCATCAGACAACAATATACATACATATTTGTATCTTTCTACTCCCCGGAACAATTTGGTAAAAATTCCCTTTATGTATGCAAGCCCAACAACTAATCTTATACGTAAATACATAAACCTGTTCTCACTCAAATTCAATTAATGTTTAAGAGTAATATTATTGAGTAATTTTCATTCGATCTTATCAACAAAATTAATTTCCCAACTCTAGAATGAGTAGAATTTTCCCCAATTTTAAGTTTTTAAATTTATATGATGGAATGGAAATGGAACATGTATTGTTGTATTGTATTGCTTAATCACTTATGTGTTCTCTCTGTTTTTGTGATTATATTATTATATAGCGTTTTTCATAGCGCACACATTTATATTTATTCGCTACATACACAAATGATTTTTGTTTTTTTTTCATTTGAGTTTATAGCAAATATGAAATATAAAGCGGAGTGAGCGGTGTTTTACACAGTGCTGCTCGAAAGGAATTCCCAATTACGATCTATTTTCAATGTTTCTGACCAAAATAGGTTCGTTCAAAAATATCAGCATCATCATTGTGAAGTGCAAAATGTATGTGCTTGTTTTTCTTTTTTTTTGTTTGTTTTTTGTTTTTTATTGCTGTTTGTATTTTTTCTTATTTTTAATATTTTTTTTGTATATTTTACAAAATATCAGAACGAAATTGTTAATTTCAGAGGCCAAACAACTCAAGAAGAAAAAGAAGAAGAAAAATAGGAGAGAATTTTTTCTTTTTTTTTTGGAAATTTTATTTTGGCACACAGTGAAGCTTTTCCAACATTTTGAGAAGATGAAAAAAGCGTCAATTTCAATTTCTTTTGTTTTTGTTTTTGAGCAACTGAATTATCTTGGAAGGGAGCTTGCGATTTAAAACGCAGAAGGGGGTAAAGTTTTTTTTGTTACAAAAAGGTTTTCTTTTTTTGTGAAAAATTTCCACTTTTAAAAAAAATATTTTTTGGAGAAGTGTTTAACTCACCTTTTGTGATATTTTTAGATAAAAAAAATCGAATGCAGTTGCTTGTGTTTTTTGCTCTTTTTTTTGTTTTCCCATATGGTATTTTATTTAATTTTTCATTTTCTAAATTGACTAATGACCAGGAAAATTAATTTTTTTTTTAAATAAATAATGCATATGAACTATAAGAAGAGGCATCGAACTTTTTTAATTAAAAATTAAAAATAAAGAAAAAAATTATTATAAAAAATTCGGTTATTTTTAAAAGAAAAATGGGATAAAACGTAGGAATTCTGTAGGAGGTTTGAAAGATTAATTATAACAACTAGACAATAAAAAAGAAAAAAAAAATATGGAAATATGGGAAAAACATTTGGGACTTTCAATAATGGCTATAAGTGATTTTTTCTGTAAATTTTAATTAGAAATCAATTTTGAAGCAATTAATAAATTACTGAAAAAAAGAAAAGATTTATTTTTATTGGTATTCTTTTGTATGTGATTTTAGAAGCCATGCGCCACATAAATTATTCAAATAAGAAAAAAAACAAGAGCTAAAAGTGCTTGGGCGTTTTCGCTAT